TGGAATGAATTTACGATAGTATCCAGCCAATCCAAGGAGTGCCCTAACCTGTTTTTTTGTTTTGGGCACAGGCCACTGGTGAATAACTGCCACTTTAGTAGGGTCAGGTCAAATACAACCTCCTCCCACTAAATGTCCTAAATACTTGGTAGTATTGTATCCTAACTTGCACTTGGAAGCTTTAATAGTTAACCCTGCTTCCCTCAACCTACTTAATACCAGATCCAAATGTTCAAGGTGAGCTTCCCATGAATCACTGAAAATCCCTATATCATCGATATAGGCCACGCAGAAAGACCCCAGCCCACTTAAAACTCTGTCCACTAATCTCTGAAATGTGGCTGGGCTGTTCTTTAACCCAAATGGAAGTACGGAAAATTCAAATAGCCGATTTTGGGTCCGGAAGGCGGTTTTATGTTGATCCTGTGGTGCCATGGGCACTTGCCAAAATCCTTTGGTTAGATCTATACTACTAATAAAATTGGCCTTCCCCATCCTTTCCAGCAAATCATTCAAACATGGCATAGGATAAGTATCTGTTTGGGTTACCTTGTTTAATTGCCTATAATCTACACAAAATCTAATTGTCTTGTCTGGCTTCTGTACTAATACTATGGGTGAAGCCCAAGAGCTAATCGATGGAACAATGATACCTAGGTCCAACATTTCTTTAATCTCCCTTTCAATACATTCATTGGGTCTCCCTGTGACCCTGTAGGGTGGACATACTATAGGAGCTACATCACCGGTGTTTATTTGATGCTGGACTCCCTGGACCTTTCCTGGTAAATCTGAAAATATATCTTTATATTTACTCAAAATTTCCACAACCTCTCTTCGCTGTGGTTGGGACAATTCACTGTTTATTTCTACCCGATCCAAATTTTTGTATTGTTCACGATCACCCTCCCAAAAAGAAAAGGGACCGGATTCTTCTTCCGAAACAACAAAATAAACATTAGCAGACCTTCTAACATAAGGCTTTAACATGTTTACATGAACTCTTCTTTCCACATTTGAATGTTCATCATAAATATCATAGTTTATTTGATTGTGTTTCCTGGTGATCTTCCAGGGTCCCGACCAATCTAATTGCAGTTTGTTGGTTTTGTTGGGAGATAAAAACAAAACTTCATCTCCGATGTTGAAGATCTTTGGCTTAGCAGTAGAATCATAATAGTCTTTTTGTCTTTGCTGAGCTGCAAGCAAATGTTCTTGTGCAATGTCCCTAGCCAGTTGCATTGTTGATTGAAGATCCTTTAGGTACTCCGACACTGGAACTGGATCTGTTGCTGGATTTTCCTCCTAGTATTCCTTTATCAGGTCTAATGGACCATGAGCTTTCCTTCCATATAGCAATTCAAGCGGACTGTAGCCAGTACTGTCATGAGGGACGGTCCTGTAGGTGAATAACAGTTGTTGTACTTTGACGTCCCAGTCGTATGGCTTCTTTTGACTGTAAGACTTTATCATTTTGACTAAAGTCTTGTTCAGATTTTCAACTAGTCCATTTGTCTGTGGGTGATAAGCTGTTGAAGTCAGGTGTCTGATTCCACATAACTCAAGCAATTTTGACATAAGTCTGGAAGTAAATTGAGTTCCCAAATCAGAAACCAATTCTCTAGGATAACCAGTTCTTCCCCAAATGGATAACAGTGCATTTGCAATCGTTGTTGTCTCAATGTTAGTTAGAGCTACAGCCTCTGGATATCTTGTGGCGTAGTCAATCATGGTTAGAATGTATCTGTAACCACGTCTGCTTGGCTTACAAAGAGGACCAACTATGTCAATGCCCACTCTGTAAAATGGTTCTGCAATTACCGGCATAGGGATCATAGGAGCTTTAATTTTATCCCTTCCAGTACTCAATCTTTGGCAGATATCACAAGACTGGCAAAACTCTTTGATCTTCTGGAACATGCCAGGCCAATAAAAGTTTTTAGTGATCCTCTTTGTGGTTTTCCTCACGCCCAGATGACCACCGTGAGGGTTCTCGTGTGTCGCCCTCATCAGCTGTTCTCTAAAACTTTGAGGCACTACAATCTGATTACATGTCATTGATCCTTCTGTTGACTTCATGTTTCTGGTTTCTCTATACAAGACACCATTCTTTAACACAAACTTGGAGGGCTGCCCTTTTGCTGATACTGTGAGGTTTTGAGCCAAAGCGAACAAAGGTTTTAGAAATTCATCTGCTCTTTGTTCCTGTTGAATTTCTCTGACTCCTCCTGTCTTCTTAATAAGCTCAGCAACCATAGTGCTGGATTCTGGATTCTCATCCCCCTCCTGTTGTATGGCGAAACACATGGCTTTTTGATCAGGGCTTTTGCTGTTATATTCTTCCTCCTCACACATCATTCTCCACTTTCCAATCTTTTTAGCCAGATCATTTCCAATTAAACACCTGTATGGTATGTCTGGACTGACTGCAAAATCCCACATACCCTTCCAACCTCCATATTCTATTGGCAAAGACACTACTGCTGTTGGTATTGCAGGTCCCAAGCCTTTTAATCTTATTTCAGAGGTAGGATGCTGAAATTTCTGAGGTATTATATCTGGATGTATAATACACACATCAGATCCTGTGTCCCGCCACCCTCTCATGTCTTTGTTGTCAATGGAAATGGATTCTAAGTAATCCTCAGTTGCGGTGTTTGACAAAATGAACAAACATTGTTTCTCTTGAGGCACCGTTTCCGAACTCTCCTTTGACACAGTATTTGGTTCTGTTTTCTTTGTTTCTTTTACTTTATTAACGAAGAGGGTTGTCTTTTCTTTTCTTAAAAGGGGACATTGATACCTTATATGATCCCACTTTCCACACTGAAAACACCTAATTTTTCCCTCAGGAGCAGTTTGACTTGTTACACTCTGCCTCCTCCAGGAGGGGTTTTCTATTGCAGGACCTTTTCCTTGTTGTGGGCGCGTTTGATGTTGGTAAAATGGCTGCCTGTTTGTCCTTTTATCATTTGGCAGATCTTCCCTTTTGAATCCTTCTTTTAGGGTAATTAATTGATCTACCATAACCGCTGCCTCTACTACAGTGGATGGCTTTCGATCCTGTACCAGCCACCGAAAATCGGAAGGTATCAATTGGAAAAATTGTTCCAATTTTAAAAGTTCTCTCAGTTGTTGGTAATTTTCCACCTCAGACGTCCTTAGCCAACTATCGAACAGTTGAGACAATCTAGAGGCCACCTGAGCGAAACTTTGGTTCTTATCTCTTTTCAGAGTCCTGAACTTGAATCTGTAAAATTCAGGTGTTAATTGAAATTTCTGTTGAACCTGTCTCTTAAATAAATCATAATCCCCATAGGACTCCTCAGGCATTTCTCCATATATTTCTAAGAGCTTTCCACTTATTTGAGGCCTTAAGTACGTCATCCATTTTTCCTCAGCAACTCCAAAATCTTTACAACATCGCTCAAACAAGGTTAGAAACTTCTCTATATCGTCATCCTTAGTAAATTTAGGAAATACTAGGTTCTTGTAGGTTTTTTCGAGCTATAGGGCCATGTTCTAGAGGCATTTCTCCTGACGTTTCGCCTGCATCTATGGCAAGCATCCTCAGAGGAAGTGAGGGGGGGTGGTGGGCTAATTTTTTGCTTTTGCAGTTCAATTTCCATTCTCCTCAATTCTATCTCCTGTTCTCTCTCTTTTTGTCTTTCCTCAAACTCTCTTTCCCTTTGTTTTGCCTCTATTTCCAATCGTTTCATCTCTAGTCTGTGCCATTTCTGACACAGACACTGGCTCTGTTTCTGCTTCAGAGCCCAAACTTCCTTCTTGGTCTCCCATTGTTTCCTCAACAAGTTTTTTCTGTCATCTGGTAGCCATATTTCAATAACTTTTACCTCACAAATTATTCTCAAAGTAGTCTTAAGGCACTCAATCAGTTGTTAATCGTATCCCGTCGTCTGCCACCAATTTGAAAAGAAGCAGGGGAGCTGGGGGATGATTTATTGTTGCCACCAATTTGAAAGGAACCAGTATTCAGGAGATTTTTCCCCAGTTCCCAATTTTAAAAAGACTTAGCCGACTTGCAATGGAGGTTGCCGATTAGGAACCAAATTTACCATCAAGTTAGAAGGGAGGCTGTTCAATTGCACCTCCTCCTTTATTAAGAAAGTAATAACTTAGTAATAATTACACTGTATATACTGTAGCGTGACTGGAGAGAAGAATGTAGATTTATTTGGTTACTTTTCCCTACGTTTCTGCCACCACGTGAGGTAAGTTGTAATATTGTGAGAAATTGCACTTTGGACTCAGAATAGACGGAGCTGAGGCAATCTTTAAATAAAAGTTAACAATTTTATTAAGTACACAGCGTGTGGTTGCAAGATGTAACTTTTCCTTGTTGCACTTGAAGAAACCTCTGACTATTCACAAACACTGCTTCTCTACTTCCCACTCTCTCTCTCAACACTTCATTTCTCTGAGCCTAAACCCTGACTCTTCATTCCTCTGAGCCTAAACCCCCAACTGACTTTAACTGTCGCTTTTCAAAACTCTCCTCTCTAAGCTCCTCCCACTTCTCTACAGCATCGTTTCCATGGTAACACACTCCTCACAGCTAGGCCGCTCCAGCATTAGGGCAACCAGTGCAAACACAAATACAGTTATAATCATATCATTTACAATCAACTTCTGAAACCGCCCCTTCTATCCTGACATTTAGGAAACAGGTGAAGACTTGGTTATGGAGACAGGCATTCGATGAGTGAGCCAACACCCTGAGATATGGTTGGAGGATGATGAGCAACGATTTTAGTGTGACGACTGACCATTATAGTTATTGAATGTAATTGCTGTTTTAATGTTTTACTGTAATATGTATTATGATGTTTTATTGATTGTATGTGATATTATGGTTGGAAACCAGTCTGAGTCCCTCAAGAGAGGTGAGAAGGCCAGTATACAAAACTTTTAAATAAATAAATATGTCTCAAACTTATAAATGTTCTTACTTTATATTTTAAAACTCCCCAATTTAACAGGAAACCTTGGCCATGGAGACTTCCGCTACTTCTCTGCCGTGTGCTGGCTTTTTGGCCGGCATTTGTATAGCGAGCTCCAGCATCCTATAGGACTGATAGACTCCACTTGGGGAGGGACCCCAATTGAAGCCTGGTCTTCCAATAGAGCACTGCATGCATGTGGACTCTCAGTAGACACCAAAAGGTAAGACTAATAATAATAATAATAATAATAATAATAATAATAATAATAGGCAATGGCATCCTTCACTCCCCTGCATTGGACACATGTTTCCTCAACAGACTGGATGCTTTCCATCCTCACATAATTCTGCTTTCGCTGTTGCTTTACATTTCTTTTCCGTCATGTGGTTGCAACACAGGTTGCTGCATGTGTTTGCAACAGAAGTGGGGAACATAACAGCACACAATAGCAACAAATAAAATGGAGGGCCTTGTCCAGTTCTTTCATAGCTGCTCTTCCAAGCCTCTAACAATTCCACATATTTCATTATCCACTTTAAAAATATATATATAAATCTATTGTCATTTCGGAGCCCCCGGTGTCTCAGTGGGTTAAAGCACTGAGCTGCTGAGCTTGTTGATCGAAAGGTCGCAGGTTCGATTCCGGGGAGCGGCGTGAGCTTCCGCTGTCAGCCCTAGCTTCTGCCAACCTAGCAGTTCGAAAACATGCAAATGTGAGTAGATAAATAGGTACCGCTCTGGCGGGAAGGTAATGGCGCTCCATGCAGTCATGCCGGCCACATGACCTTGGAGTGTCTACGGACAACGCTGGCTCTTCGGCTTAGAAATGGAGATGAGCACCACACCCCAGAGTCAGACATGACTGGACTTAATGTCAGGGGACTACCTTTACCTTTTTATTGTCATTTCTCCTTTGCATTCAGCCATAACTCTGATTTTGCACTTTCTTCCTTAGCTTTCATTAGATGCTTTAAAGTCTGCATTTGCAGGTAAGAGGGAGAAAATACCTTTTTCTGAGTTGATGTGTTGTTGTCTCCATTTGGTGATCTAGAAAAAGTTTGTGGGTTTTCCCTCTTAAGTACTTTCTTATTTAGCTGCTTCTGAAACCCACTTCATGTTCACTTCCTCCAGATGAGAAGTTATCCTCCCAATTGAAATAACATCAAAGTGTCTGTATTAGTCTTTCCAACGAGTTCCCAGATATACCTTGTAATTCAGGGTTTTAAAGTTGCATCTTCACACTTGCGACTTGATTGGCATTTGAGGTGCACTTATGGGACTGTTGCACCCTAAAGTACCAGTAAGGCACACAATGGGCATTGCTTCTATGCACATTTATCATTGTATGAGGGTTGAATGAAAAGTAATGCCTCCACCTTCGTAACTCCTCAACAAATGGCAGTACTGGTATGCGGCAGGTACTGGCTTGTTCAGTAGACTTTCCTCTACAGTTTCATTTTGGCGGGAAGCCTTAGCATTGAACAGTTGTGTTGTTAAAATGCAAAATATGGAACCCACCTCCTTCAAGATGAACTGAACCAAAGATTGGAAAGGGGAAAAAGGTCTAACCAAAAAGGATTGGAGGGAAAGAATGCGAGAATATATGCTAATGGCCAGATTAACTTATAACAGGAGGAATAAGAGTAATGAGGACTTTTTAGAAAAATGGAAGTTGGCCATGGCATATCTGAATAGAGAGTCAGTAATATAGTGGAGCTCCATTAGGAATTTAGGTTTACCATGAATAACGATAGATAAATAGGCTTAAAGGCTTCATAGTGTTTCGGTGTGGGAAGCCATGGTGAAGGGTGCACGGGTGTGGGGATGAGGGTTTATTTTTTTTAGGATAGGGGTTTTGGGATGAGAGTAAGGTTGGTGGTATGTGTGTAAAATGCCATGTGCTGATTTCCTGAATGTTATGAAAAAAAATTAATACAAAGCTCTGACTGTAAGCAGTGGAAAACAGGCAGAAATAACAAGTCTATGTGTATTAAGATATGTACATGATAATAATTTGTACTTAATGTCAAAATTAACTGATTAATTGAATAAGGTAGATAGGCATGTACATGTAAAAAATATTGGTACCTGATTATATCTGCCATGATTTGCTTTTCTGTTATGTACCATAATCAAAATAAACAGTTTTAACAAAAAAAAAAAAAAGATGAACTGAACCATCTCAACTGGGCTCTACAGGCCAATGGATACTTCAGCTCAGACATCAGAAGAGCTGCAAGACCAAGAACAAGCCACGAGAATAAAGATGAAGATCCACCCAGAGGAAAAGTGTTCCTGCCATACATCAAGGGAACCACTGACTGCATAGGGAAGCTGATGAGGAAACACAACATACAAATTATCTACAGACCCAGCAAGAAAATCCAACAACTGCTCCGTTCAGCAAAGGACAAGAGGGATCCTCTCACTTCTGCAGGAGTCTACCGTATACCATGCAGCTGTGGACAAGTCTACATAGGGACCACCAAACGCAGCAGCATTGCCCAAACACGAATCAAGGAACATGAAAGGCACTGCAGACTACTTCAACCAGAGAAATCAGCCATAGCAGAGCACCTGATGGACCAACCTGGACACAGCATTTTATTTGAGAACACAGAAGTGCTGGACCACTCTCACAACCACCATGTCAGACTACACAGAGAAGCCACTGAAATACACAAGCATGTGGACAATTTCAACAGAAAGGAGGAAACCATGAAAATGAACAAAATCTGGCTACCAGTATTAAAAAACTCTAAAATTGCAACAGCACAACAACAGAGAGGAAACAAACAAGGACATCTAATTACCTCTCAACAAAAGTTTTCCCCAGGCACAGTCAGGCCGTTGTATGCTAATCAAGGTGGTCAGTTGAAACATTCACACCTTGCTCCAGCAGACAAGAGTCGTTTGTCCCACCCTGGTCATTCCACAGATATATAAACCCTTTTTCCTAGTTCCAACAGACCTCACTACCTCTGAGGATGCTTGCCATAGATGCAGGCGAAACGTCAGGAGATAATGCCTCTAGACCATGGCCATATAGCCCGAAAAAACCTACAACAACCCAATGATTCGGGCCATGAAAGCCTTTGACAATACACCTATTCAGATGGTCGGTCAATGCGATTTAAGCAACGTGCAGTCATTGAATTCTTGACAGCAGAAGGTGTCACCCCCAAAGGAGATTCATCAGAGAATACAAGCTGTTTATAGTGATTGTGTTGATGTGAGTACTATGCCTCATTCGGCAAGTAAGTTTAAAGATGGTGAGGTGAGAACATCTGACCTGCGTGACAAACAAAGAGTTGGACGTCCTGTGTCAGCAACTACCGAGTTTCACAAGCAAAATGTTGACAGATTGATTCAGGACGATCGTTATATCACTCAGAGAGAAATTTCAAGCATAATCGGCATTTCACAAGAATGTATGGGTCACATTATGGCTTTGCTTGGCTATCGGAAGATTTGTGCACGATGGGTTGCGGAAACAGAGTGACGGCTTCAGAAAACTTGTTCATCATTGGCAAAAATGAATCCAATTGTCTGGTGATTATGTGGGAAAGTGAATAGTGGTAGTTAAAGAGCACATCCTAAGTATTATTTCTGCTTTTGATTTATTAAAATATTCCCATCCAAACCAAGTAACTAAGGTGGAGGCATTACTTTTCATTCAATCCTCATACTTATGCATTGGGTTGTCAACAAAGCATACTTACCATTTCTCCACATACCTTGTGCTACAATAATATTAGCTATAGGTTTTGCTGATGGATATTTGTGTAATTCGGGAGCAATAATGTGCTCAGCCATAATATGTCCTGTAAAATATAGAAGACACTTGTTGAAATTTTGGTCTGAAGTTGTATTGTATTGTCTTGTTTTTGCCTAGGCCATTACTTATATAGGTTTCCATAATTTTCAGAAGTCCTCCAAATTGTATAGATAGGACACAATGTTTGGTTTCAGTTGCATGGTTCCTTTACTTCAGTGTTCATATTGGAAATGAGACAAGAGGAGGATCAGTTATTGAGACAGGGAGTCATGGTGGCGCAATGGGTTAAACCCTTGTGCCGGCTGAACTGCTGACCTGAAGGTCAGCGGTTCAAATCCATGAGATGGGGTTTATTTATTTATTTATTATTTATCGTGTCATCCGCAACCAGAACATTGTATTACATTACTAACAGAACAAAACAAACAAACAGATTAAAAAACAAAACAAAACACCAATTTTGCAAACTTGGTAGCTGATTAAATGTCCTTTGACCAGTATCTGGCCACTTGGGAGTGTCTCTGGTGTTGCCGCAAGAAGGTCCTCCATTGTGCATGTGGCAGGGCTCAGGTTGCATTGCAGCAGGTGGTCAGTGGTTTGCTCTTCTCCACACTCGCGTGTCAAGGATTCCACTTTGTAGCCCCATTTTCAATTTCTGAAGGTTGGCTCTGCATCTCGTGGTGCCAGAGCGCAGTCTGTTCAGCGCCTTCCGAGTCGCCCAGTCTTCTGTATGCCCAGGAGGGAGTCTCTCATCTGGTATCACCCACGGATTGAGGTGCTGGGTTTGAGCCTGCCACTTTGGATTCTCGCTTGCTGAGGTGATCCAGCGAGTGTCTCTGTAGATCTAAGAAAACTATTTCTTGATTTAAGTCGTTGACATGCTGGCTGATACCCAAACAAGGGATGAGCTGGAGATGTCTCTGCCTTGGTCCTTTCACTATTGGCTGCTACTTCCTGGCGGATGTCAGGTGGTGCAATACTGGCTAGACAGTGTAATTTCTCCAGTGGTGTAGGGCGCAGACACCCCGTGATGATGCGGCATGTCTCATTAAGAGCCACATCCACTGTTTTAGTGTGGTGAGATGTGTTCCACACTGGGCGTGCGTACTCAGCAGCAGAGTAGCATAGCGCAAGGGCAGATGTCTTCACTGTATCTGCTTGTGATCCCCAGGTTGTGACAGTCAGCTTTCGTATGATATTGTTTCTAGCACCCACTTTTTGTTTGATGTTCAGGCAGTGCTTCTTGTAGGTCAGAGAACGGTCCAGAGTGACTCCCCATGAGATGAGGTAAGCTCACGTCTGTCAGCCCCAGATTCCCATGTGGGGACATGAGAGAAGCCTTCCACAGGATGGTAACACATCCAAGCATCTCCTGGGCAATGTCCTTGCACCAGAAGCGACTTCAATTCGCTTCTGACACAAGTATTGAGACTTGTGATGCTTAGCCATTCTTTAATTCTATGTATTTCACTGGGATTACTTTTGAGTAAGAGTTTGGGACTCATGTCCTAAATCTTGTAATTCCAAAAGGCTGAGAGAATAACAAAAAGTAAAAAGTTGTTTTGCATCAATCGAAGGAGCTAGGCTTTGTGTACAGGTCCAAGTGGGTTGCTTAGCACACCAGTTAATTGTTTTGAGAAGTTCCATTTGACAACCACTTCTCCTATACACAAAAATGTACTGGAATGAGAATGCACTCTTTTACAGCATCTCTGCATTTGGCCTTCATTGGTGTTCATTGTCATGCTTCATTCCTTGCACTTGAAACTATAACAACACAACTTGCACTGTTCTGTTTGTTCAATGGTTATTTTTTGAAGGAAACCTCGGGGTTGCGATCGAACCATTACGATGCTGTTATGGAACCACTTCTTGTCCTGATTGGTATTATTAACACACATCATCACTTCCACCATTTTTGCCATTTCTCTGTGCGTTAATCCAGCGTTTCTCAACCTGGGGACCCCTGGGGGGTCGCAAGGGGGTGTCAGAGGGGTTGCCAAACACCATCAGAAAACACAGTATTTTCTGTTGGTCATGGGAATTCTGTGTGGGAAGTTTGGCCCAATTCTATCGTTGGTGAGGTTCAGAATGCTCTTTGATTGTTGGTGAACTATAAATCCCAGAAACTACAACTCCTAAATGTCAAGTCTGTTTTCGCCAAACTCCGGTGTTCACATTTGGGCATATTGAGTATTTGTGTGAAGTTTGGTCCAGATACATCATTGTTTGAATCCACAGTGCTCTCTGGATGTAGGTGAACTACAACTCCAAAACTCAAGGTCAATGCCCACCAAACCCTTTCAGTATTTTCTGTAGGTCATGGGAGATCTGTGTGCCAGTATTATATTGTCGAAGGCTTTCATGGTTGGAATCACTGGGTTATTGTAGGTTTTTTGGGCTATATGGCCATGTTCTAGAAGCATTCCCTCCTGACGTTTCGCCTGCTTCTATGGCAAGCATCCTCAGAAGTCCTCAAAACATCAAGAGAGAATGCTTCTAGAACATGGCCATACGGCCTGAAAAATCTACAACAACCTTCCAGTGTATTCTGTTGGTCATGAGAATTCTGTGTGTCAAATTTGGTTCAATTCTATCATTAGTGGAGTTCAGAATGCTCTTTGATTGTTGGTTAACTATAAATCCCAGCAACTACAACTCCCAAATGACAAAATAATTCCACCCCCCCCCCCACCCCACCAGTATTCATATTTGGACGTAACAGGTATCTGTGCCAAATTAGGTCCAGTGAATGAAAATACATCCTGCAAATGGGATATTTATGTCACAATTCCTAACAGTAGCAAAGTCAAAGTTATGAAGTGGGAACAAAAATAATGTTATGGTTGGGGGTCACCATAACATAAGGAAATGTATTAAGGGGTCATGGCATTGGGAAGGTAGAGAAACACTGCATTAATCTTTCATAGGATTCCTTTGGGATTGCACTATTGAACTACTTCCCTTATTTTTTTTTTTAAAAAACATGTGAAATAGTGGGTTGTTGTAGATTTTTCAGGCTGTGTGGCCATGTCCTAAAACATGACCATACAGCCAGAGAAACCTACAACAACCCAGTGATTCCCACTATGAAAGCCTTTGACAATACATGTGAAATAGTGTTTAAAATAGTCTAGGTTGGATTACTGTAATGCGCTCTACGTGGGGCTGCCCTTGAAAACAGCTCGGAAATTCCAACTGGTCCAACGAGCAGCAGCCAGGATGTTAACTGGGGCTCCTTACAGAGAGGTCAACCCTCCTGTTCAAGGAGCTCCACTGGCTCCCGTTTACTTACTGAGCCCAATTCAAGGTGCAGGTGCTTACCTACAAAGCCCTAAACGGTTTGGGACCAGCCTACCTGCGTGATCACATCTCCGTCCACGAACCCACGCGTTCTCTTCGCTCATCTGGAGAGGCCCTGCTCGTGATCCCACCTGCGTCGCAAGCGCGGTTGATGGGACACGAGACAGGGCCTTTTCCGTGGTGGCCCCCCGACTCTGGAATACCCTCCCCAAAGATCTTAGACAGGCCCCTACATTGGCAGTCTTCAGAAAGAACTTGAAGACCTGGCTGTTCCGATGTGCCTTCCCCGAATAGGAAACCTCCAATACCAAGTCCCAGAAGCACTTTATTAAATTAAGATTGCCGCACACTGCACACTGCACTTGCCCTATTAGCCTTATAGTCCACCTGTCACACCAGCACTTTTTAACTCTTGTACCCATTACTGTGGCCCGGCCCAGTTTTATTGCGTTCTTAGTACATTGTTTATTACTTGATGTTTAGTTTGCTCAATTGTTTTTAATTTGCTTTAGGTTTTGTATTGTTGTATTGTGTGTTGAGACCTTGGCCTTTGTAAGCCGCATCGAGTCCTTCGGGAGATGCTAGCGGGGTACAAATAAAGTTTAATAATAATAATAATAATAATAATAATAATAATAATAATATGCATGCCAGAGAGCAGGTATACAGACAGCAGTTCTCTTGGGAATCCTGCAGTATAGTTGATTTTGCCCAGGGGCGCTCTTGAGGCGCTCTTGGGGGAAAATAGACCTTGACATATGCGAGTTGTAGTTACTGGGATGTATAGTTCACCTACAATCAAAGAGCATTCTGAACTCCACCAGTGATGGAATTGAACCAAATATGGCACACAGAACTCCCACGACGAACAGAAAATATATATCAGTGATTGGTTTGGGGGGGGGAGGGCGCCAAAATACTGTTTGCTTACCATTGAAAATTACCTAGGGCCGCCTCTGCCTGTAACTCAACCAAAATAAGTTTCTTTGCAGGAGATTGCTGGGAAATCCTCCAAGGAGGAGCCATGAAATCATGCTCATGCCATGTCCAATGTGTTCCCGTTATTGCATGAAGCTGAGTAGGACATTTGCAGCCAAAGTGGTTGTTAAAGCACATCAGGCTAAACCAGGGCCGTAGCCAGAAAATATTTTTGGGAGGAGTTGAAATTTTCGTGGGGGGGGGTTGAAAATTTTGCCGGGGGGGGGGGGGGTTGAAACCTGCCTCCTAGCTCACGCAGAAGCAAAGAGCACAGCAGGGGGCAGAGCAGCCTTCAATAGCCTGCAGCTCCGCCCCTGTCAACCACCTCCACCAAGTCTGGCCTCCTTAATGAGAGCATTCAACACACACACCCCCAACTTGGTTGCTTCACTACATCGGCTATTGCTGCAAGTAATGACAGTGTGAATAAATTGTCAATATTTGCTTGAGATAGTGCTTGCAGTTCTGGAGGGACTCTAATTTTTTGCATCTCATAGACTTAGCATGGGGATTTGGTTAACCAGTTAAAATTCATGAGTAAACCAGGTATTTTTTAAAAAATCTGAAACATTTCGGGGGGGGGGTTTGAACCCCTAACCCCCCCCCCCTCGCTACAGGTTAAAGCCCTAAATGGTTCCAGCCCAGCTTATCTATCTGAACGCATCTCTTCCTACAAATCCACCAGGAACTTGAGATGGTCAGAGCAGGCCCTGCTCTCGATCCCGCCTGATTTGTAAGCATGTTTGGCAGGGACAAGAGACAGGGCCTTCTCTGTGGTGGCCCCTTGGCTGTGGAACTCCCTGCCTAGGGATATTAGATCAGCCCCCTCCTTCCTGACCTTTCGAAAAAGAGTGAAAACTTGGCTCTTCGAACAAGCATTTGGAACCTCGGGATAAACAAACAAACTTGAATCGGAAAATGACCCGGCCAAGACGATGGAACGGATGAGGATTTGAATGAGAGGACATACTTTTAAAATGTTTTATTATTCATTGTTTTAATGTTTCTATTTTTTTTTTTGTCGTGTCAGGAGCGACCTGAGAAACTGCAAGTCGCTTCTGGTGTGAGAGAATTGGCCGTCTGCAAGGACGTTGCCCAGGGGACGCCTGGATGATTTGATGTTTTTGTCATCCTTGTGGGAGGCTTCTTTCATGTCCCCGCATGAGGAGCTGGAGCTGATAGAGGGAGCTCATCCACCTCTCCCCGGATTCGAACCTGCGACCTGTCGGTCTTCAGTCCTGCCGGCACAGGGGTTTAACCCACTATGCCACTGGGGGCTCCATGTAATGTTTCTTTTTTGCTTTTTATCAACGTATGTATTTTATATATGGCATCTAACTGTGCCGACTTTGTATGCTGCCCCGAGTCACCTTCAGGCTGATATGGGCGGGATAGAAATAGTGTAAATAAATAAATAAATAAATAAATTTCACGGAGAAAAAGCATCAGTTTCCAAAGTACAGCATTGGGAGAGCCGCATTGTCGCGTGATGATACTAACGCAGTGCAATTGTGGTATAACAGTGTTGTGTGATAATCTCCTGGTTGATGTAAAATTTCTTCTCTTTTTCACGTAGAACTAATTGAATTAATCATTTCATTAGCCACTTTTTTCTGGAGAAATATTCAGCTTTTTTTCGTACAAAAAAAATCTAATGAATTAATTAACTCCTTTTTGTTAGAAAATTCCCGACTTAACTTATAAATGTATTGATTTTCATTCATGCCAGACATAAGTGTCTCGTGTACTATGTTGCAGAAATCTTTCCTTGGATCCTATTGGTGGCCCCAAAAATCCTTCTGTGCTCTGGAATGCCATGATCCATCCTTTTGTCAACTTGACCCTCAAAGGGGTTATTTGGTATCAAGGTAAGTTCATCCAGAACTTGGCAACATTACTTGTTTGGAATGCAACTTCTTAGGAATAGAACTCCCCGAATCCACCAGCCAACATAATCCCTGAAGATGCAGGTTCACAGCTTGGGTGTGATCCTGGACTCATCGCTGAGCCTGGAAGCCCAGGTTTCGGCTATGACCAGGGGAGCATTTGCACAACTAAAATTTGTGCGCCAACTGCACCCATACCTTGGGAAGTCTGACTTAGCCACAGTAGCCCACGTTCTGGTTACATCCCGTATAGACTACTACAATGCACTCTACGTGGGGCTGCCTTTGAAGACTGTTCAGAGGCTTCAAATGGTCCAATGGGCAGCAGCTAGATTACTAACAGGAGCAGCGCTCAGGAAGTATACAACTCCTCTGCTGTGCCAACTCCACTGTCTGCCAGTTTGCTACCAGGCACAGTTCAAAGTGCTGGCTTTAGCCTTTAAAGCCCTAAACGGTTCCAGCCCAGCTTACCTGTCCGAACGTATCTCTCCCTATGAACAAGCTAGGAGCTTAAGATCATCTGGGGAGGCCCTGTTCTCAGTCCCGCCTCCTTCGCAGATGCAATTAGTGGGAACGAGAGACAGGGCCTTCTCAGCGGTGGCCCCTCGGCTATGGAATGCCCTTCCTAGGGATATGAGAACAGCCTCCTCTCTCCTAACATTTTGAAAAAGAGTTAAAACCTGGCTCTTTGAGCAAGCGTTTGCATACGCAGTGTAACAGGCTAACTTAGATCCATGGAACGATTGGACGATGTGACTGGAAAATGATTTTAGTAATGAGATGCTGAGGACTTTTGTTTTTATTGTTTCTACTGTTTCTATATGGCTTATATTATATGTTAATGTTCTTAATTATATTTTATGTTGCTGGGGGCATTGATTGCCGATTGTAAACCGCCTTGAATCGCCATCGGGCTGAGAAAGGCGGTATTTAAATATGGTAAACTAGCTGAACCCACCACGCGTTGCTATGGCCAACCTTCCCTCCTTCTTTTTCACCTTCTTTCTTTCTTTCTTTCTTTCTCTCCTTCCTTCCTTCCTTCCTTCCTTCCTTCCTTCCTTCCTTCCTTCCTTCCTTCCTTCCTTCTTTCCTTCCTTCCCTCTTTTTCTTTCCCTTCTTTCTTCCTTCTCTACCTGTTTCTTTTCTCGCTTCCTTTGCTCTTTGGTTCCATCCTTCCTTGTGTCTTTCCTTCCCTTCCTCTTTCTCTCTTTCGTTCCTTCTCTCCTTCCTTCCCTCTTTCACTTTTTTATTTCATTCCCTCCTCTCCTTCCTTCCTCCTCTACCCTTCTTTCTTTCCTTCTTTCTCTCCTTCCCTCCTTCTTTTCCTTCTTCTTTCCCTCTTTCTCTCCCTCCTTCTCTCCTTCCTTCCTTCTCTACCCTTCTTCCTTTCCTTCCTTCTCTCCTTCCCTCCTTCCTTCTCTACCCTTCTTCCTTTTCTTCCTTCTCTCCTTCCTTCTTTCTCTCCCTTCTTCTCTCCTTCCTTCCTTCTCTATCCTTTTTTTCTTCCTTCTTTCCTTCCCTCCTTCTTTCCCTCCTTCTCTACCCTTCTTTCCTTCCTTCCTTCTCTCCTTCCCTCCTTCTCTCATTCCTGTGTATGTGTTTTGTGTGTGTGTGTATATGCATATATGTGTGTGTATATGTGTGTTTGTCTATATGTGTGTGTGTGTGTGTGGTTTTGCGTGTCCGTTGTAATGTATTTTTGTTGGGGTTTTTTTTTTGCTTTTTAAGTCCCTTCTGCTGTGTTTTTCAGTGTTTTTATGAGTGATAGTCACTCATTGGCCTGAGAGGTGTCTTGCATCCAAATTTGGTTTCAATTCATCCAGTGGTTTTTTAGTTTTGTTAATCCCACAAATGAACATTACATTTTTGTTTATATAGATAAAGAAATAAATGCTGGGAGCTGCCATCCAAACAGTAACTTTCTCAAGCTGTGAGTAAACCCCACAGTGCAACTGGGCAGATAGATACCAATACTTATATAATTTTTACTGTTTTTCATCTCTCTGTGCCTGTACCAGGTGAAGCGAATACAATAATGAACACAGATCTGTACAACTGCACATTCCCTGCCCTCATTGAAGACTGGCGGAAAGCCTTCCACGAAGGCTCCCAAAGACAAACTCAGCTGTATTTTCCCTTTGGTTTTGTCCAGGTAAGTGATTATCACACAAAGGAATGAGTGCTAGATGGGTTAGTGGACCCTGTTAATAATGGGACGATTGGGAAAAGACAACCAGGCAAGTGGATCATGCAACAAATGGAAAAATTGATATATTCAATCCCTGCAAAGATAGGAAGTACTTTGTTTGTGTGTCAGAAGGATCCCCATCACTGTCCATCACATTCTTCAATACCAGTTTGAAACTGTATTAAATGGTCAGTGTAGATGGGGGCCTATGAGATCAATTCAAGCAAGAAGAACGGCACAATAGAGCTTGTCTACCTGATCCAAAATCTACATTTGCACCAACTGTCATTCCTCATCTTGTGTTACAGTTATGCACAGATCGCCGCGTAGCACCAGATGACAACTTCCCACGTATCCGGTGGCATCAAACTGCAGACTTTGGCTATGCTCCTAATAAGAAAATGCCCAATACTTTTATGGCGGTGACCATAGATCTTGGTGACGATCATTCTCCCTACGGCAGGTAGGGAGAATTGCAATTTATTTATTTATCGTGTCAGGAGTGAACCAAAACAGATTAAAAAAACAGACAAACAAACCACAAGATTTGCAGACTTGGTATTCTATTAAATGTACTTTGACCAGTATCTTGCCACTTGGAGTGCCTCTGGGGTTGCTGCAAGAAGGTCCTCCATTGTGCATGTAGCAGGGCTCAGGTTGCATTGCAGCAGGTGGTCAGTGGTTTGCTCTTCTCCGCACTCATATGTCGTGGATCCCACTTTGTGGCCCCATTTCTGAAGGTTGGCTCTGCATCTCGTGCCAGAGTGCAATCTGTTCAGCGCCTTCCAAGTCACCCAGTTTTCTGTATGCCCAGGGGGTAGTCTCTCATTTGGTATCAGCCATTGATTGAGGTTCTGGGTTTTAGCCTGCCACTTTTGGACTCTCGCTTGCTGAGGTGTTCCAACGAGTGTCTCTGTAGATCTTAGAAAACTTTTTCTTGATTTAAGTCGTTGACATGCTGGCTGATACCCAAAGAGGGGATGAGCCGGTGATGTCTCTGCCTTGGTCCTTTCACTGTTGGTTGCTACTTCCCGGCGGATGTAGCAACCAATAGTGGTGCAGTACTGGCTAAACAGTGTAATTTCTCCAGTGGTGTAGGGCGCAGACACGCTGTGATAATCTGGCATGTCTCATTAAGAGCCACATCCACTGTTTTAGCGTGATGAGATGTGTTCCACACTGGGCATGCATACTCAGCAGCAGAGTAGCATAGCGCAAGGGCAGATGTCTTCACTGTGTCTGGTTGTGATCCCCAGGTTGTGCCAGTCAGCTTTCGTATGATATTGTTTCTAGCGCCCACTTTTTGCATAATATTCAGGTAGCACTTCTTGTAGGTCAGAGCACGGTCCAGAGTAACTCCCAGGTATTTGGGTGCGCTGCAATGCTCCAATGGGATTCCTTCCCAGGTGATCCTCAGAGCTTGGGATGCTTGCCTGTTCTTAAGATGAAATTGCAATCATTTCCTTGTTTTACACCAAATACCTATGAAAAAAAAACCCCCAGATATGTGGTCTACATATTGCCCCAGTGATAATCCTCCCCTTCTGTTTCCCAGCATCCACCCCAGAGATAAGCAGACTGTGGCCTATCGATTATTCCTTGGTGCACTGGCAGTTGCTTATGATAAAAAACGCCTGGTCTTCCAAGGGCCTTACCCTCAGACGGTGCAGGTGGATGCACACCTTGGACTCCTCAAAGTCACCTACAATGAGCCCATTGAGCTTCGCCAGTTGAGTGAGGAGATATTTGAGGTAGGTTTGGCAGTGGTTGAGATATGCCTTTGCCTGAGAAGGGCATGAGCTCTGTTAGTAAAAAAAAGTCAAGCAATGCCATTTTGTTTGTTCCTTATGAAGAAGGGGCTGGACAACCTGCTGGAGATGCTCTTGCTGGAGATCCTGCATTGACTTGATGCAGGGTTGGACTTGATGGGGCCCCTTCCAGTCGAATCTTATCTAGTTGGTGGGCCATGAGTTCTCTATCAATATGTTCCCTGGTAGTGCAGCAGGTTAAACCGCTGAACATGCTGATTGAAAGGTTGGTGGTTGGAATCCAGGGAATGGGATGAGCTCTGTTGGGGACCCCTCCCCCCAGCACCAACTGCCACTCTGGGCCAGAGTAAAGTGGGGGGGGGGGCAGAAGACAGTTCCACCTTGTCTGCTGTGCTATGCTAATAATATAATAAATTATAATATAATACAATGTAATGTAATATATTGTATATACATATAATATTTATGATATTATAATGTAATACAATATAATACTACTAATAATAAATTATAAGTATATATTTTATATTACATGTAATATTACTAATAATATTACAATATAATGGTATAGGACAATATAGTAATATATAATACTGATATTGTACTATGCTATTTATTTCGTATCAAAAGCATTGCATAAATTAGTATAAAACTGATAAAATAGAAGGCGTGCAGGTGGCTAAATATCTTTTGACCAAAAACGGGCAACAGCAACGGCATTGTCTGTGGCCTCCAACAATTCCTCCTCTGTACATGAGGCAGGGCACAATGGACAAGCATACAGATGCAGAGTTGTTTGTTGTGCTCCAGAGTCACACAAGGTATGGGATTCTTTTAGGGTACTATGTGTACTATGCTAATAATATAATATATTGTTTGTATGTATGTATATATGTATATATGTATATGTGTGTGTGTGTGTGTGTGTGCATACACACACATATATATACATATACATACATACACATATACATATAAATATATATATATATATACACACACACACACACACACACCTATCTTGTAAGCCACTGAGTCCCCTTTGGGGTGAGAAGGATGGCATATAAATGTCATAAATAAATAAATAGTCCAATCGTGACTGACTCTGGGGGGTGGTGCTTGTAAAGGTCCCTTACCTTTTAGCAGCCAGGATGCAGGGCCTAGAGTAAGCCTGCCAGCTAGTAGACAGATTAGGTGTGGGCCTGGCGAAGCATCTGTGGCCATTTTAGAGTAGGGAAGACGCCATCTTAGGGAGAGTTTAGAGAGGGGGCGTGTCTTAGGCCTGAGTCAGCAGGGAATGGCCAGGATTGGTAGAGGAAAAGGGGGCGGAGTTTAAGAGAAGCTGAGAGGGAAAAAAGAACATTTTAAGTCAGAGAGAGGTTGTTGGAGTTTAGTGTTTGAAGAGAAAGGGTGTGTAGGAGTTTGTGGTTTAAGAGTTAGGAGAGGGCAAAGTTTGCCAGTGGTTTGCCAGCAAGTTACCTGAAGCAAACTGACAGCTATTGGGGATATAGCTGGGTGGTAGCTAGATAAGACTAGGTTAGTGCATCTGAGCTACTGAAGGATTTCTGACAGAGACACAGTCCTGTTAAGATTTCTTGTTGGTGAAGAGAGAGAAGATTTCTCTAAAGTAACAAAGATAGCAACATTATTGTAACCGTCACGCATTCAAGACAAAAAAACCTTTCTGTAACAGCCAAGAATTGAACTGCACTTATTTTCCTGTTCCCAATTAATAAACTTTTATTGATTATTTGTTATTCAAAGCTTGATTCAAGTGTGCCTTTGTGCCTGAAGTTTCCTAAACAAACTTAACTGCTTTAAAAGAACAAAAAGAAGGCAACAGTGTCTAGTGGTCTCAATAGATCTTTAGTATTTGGCAGCTAGTGAGTTCCCTTACATTTTGGTGGCAGCGGAAGAAACCTGAAATATACCCCTCGATCATTATATTTGGTTTACAACAAAGTAGGGATTGATTAGATCCCTAAGTACCCATCGAACCCATTCGGTGACATTGAAACTGTCTTCTTTGTCTGTCATTTTTTTTATATTGGTGGCACAGCGGTGTGGGATCTGATATTGATTGATCCCAAGGTATCATTATAGTGCTCATCTCCATTTCTAAGCCAAATAGCCATCATGGCTAGCACCATGACCTTCCTGTTGGAGTGGTACCTACTGATCTACTCACATTGGCATGTTTTCGAACTGCTAGTTTGGTCGGAGCTAGGGCTAATGGCGGGAGCTCATCCCACTCCCTAGATTCCAACCACCAACCTTTCCATCAGCAAGTTCAGCTCTTGGCATGTTTTTGAACTGCTAGGTTGGTAGAAGCTGGGGCTGACAGTGATAGCTCACGCTGCTCCCCGGTTTCAAACCTGCGACCTTTTGGTCAACAAGTTCATGACTAGACTTAATGTCAGGGGAAACATTTCCCTTTACCTTATGTTACTTTCCAGGACTCCGAGTTGGAGTAAATGTTAACTTTTGTCTCTCTGGCAGGTGTGTTGCTCAGAACAGCCCGTGTGCAAGTGGACCCCAGTGTCGATCAAGGCATCCTTGTACTTCTCAGTGTTTCTGCTCAATATAGCTTGCCCCCGAACTGTGCTTGGCCTGCGCTATGCATGGATGGAGTGGCCTTGCGAATACATGCTGTGCCCCTTGTACAACCTGCAGAACTTGCCTGCCCCTCCATTTATTACATTTGCCAAAAATAACCCTGCCTGGATTGTATGGTAAAGAGGGCAAAATCCCAGGAGGTCTCTTGGATCAGAGAGTGCCAAGAAAGGCCGAACAGAGACAGAGATTATTTTTGTAACGAGTATAGTAAACTCCTCAGGTCGGTAACTGTGGAGCCAAAAATCCTCAGATTGGGAAGACTGGCTGTGCACCAGAAAAGGGAAAAATTGAATCAGTCGATTTTGCAGGCAGTTTCTTGCACTTTGCACTTGCTCTGAACTTTTGTGATAATGTAACGAAGATTTTTAGCAGCTACACTGAGAATCAACCAAGCTACTTAGCAAACTATAACTACTTACTTTTGCAAGGGAAGTATAGTTGCATCGCAGACCATATGTGTATTTACTCAGAGGTATGGCCCACGGGTTTCCATAGGACTTAATGCCAAGTAAATGTGTTTAAGATTTATTTATTTATTTGTCGTGTCAGAGAAACCAGTCCATTATATTACATTTCTAACAGAACAAAGCAAACAAACAGAGAAAATACAAAACTTGTGAGTTTGGTAGTTGGTTAAATGTCCTTTGACCAGTATCTGGCCACTTGGAGTGCCTCTGGTGTTGCCGCAAGAAGGTCCTCCATTGTGCATGTGGCAGGGCTCAGGTTGCATTGCAGCAGCTGGTCAGTGGTTTGCTCTTCTCCACACTCGCATGTCGTGGATTCCACTTTGTGGCCCCATTTCTTAAGGTTGGCTCTGCATCTCGTGGTGCCAGAGCGCAGTCTGTTCAGCGCCTTCCAAGTCGCCCAGTCAGAAATTCTGTGTGCCCAGCGGGGAGTCTCTCATTTGGTAACAGCCATGGTTTGAGGTTCTGGGTTTGTGCCTGCCACTTTTGGACTCTCGCTTGCTGAGGTGTTCCAGCGAGTGTCTCTGTAGATCTTAGAAAACTATGTCTAGATTTAAGTCGTTGACGTGCTGGCTGATACCCAAACAGGGGATGAGCTGGAGATGTCTCTGCCTTGGTCCTTTCACTATTGGCTGCTACTTCCCGGCGGATGTCAGGTGGTGCAATACCAGCTAAGCAGTGTAATTTCTCCAGTGGTGTAGGGCGCAGACACCCCGTGATAATGCGGCATGTCTCATTCAGAGCCACATCCACTGTTTTAGTGTGGTGAGATGTGTTCCACACTGGGCATGCCCACTCAGCAGCAGAGTAGCACAGCACAAGGGCAGATATCTGTATCTGGTTTAAGATTACTGTTGTGGTTTTACTGGTATGTACCATGTTCCTTGACTAAGCAGGGATTTGACTCCCATAACTGTCAGCCAGCTTAGTGGAAATTAATATAAGATTATTAAGAATATCTTGGGCCATAACTTCATAACCACAGATGTAGTTAGACAGTAGTTTGATAGGTTCTTCATTTCAGGATATTCCAGTGATCTAGCCATCTATTTTCCCATTGTCTACTCTGGAGAACTGTCTTTTTTTTCTGAAGCAAGGCAAACAATCCTACAATTTGCTGTGGTCAAATCTCATCTGGAATACTGTGTCCAGTTCTGGGCACCACTGTTCAAGGATATTGACAAACTGAAATGTTTCCAGAGGAGGCACCAAAGATGGTCAAAGGTCTGGAAACGAAGCTCTATGAGGAATGACTTGGGGGCTGAGTATGTTTAGCTTCAAGAAGAGAAGATCGAGGGAGTGATTTACACAGCAACAAAAGAGATTCCACATGATCATTGAGTTTAATATCGACTTTTTGTTGGTAAGAGTAGAACGTACTGTCTCAGAGGATGTGAATTCCTTCTTAGGAGGTTCTTAAACACAGGTTGAATGGCCAGGTTTCAAGGGTCCTTTTGCTATCCATTCCTTTGTGATGGGGGTTGGACTAGATCAGTGATTCTCAACCTTCCTAATGCCGCAACCCCTTAAAATAGTTCCTCCTGTTGTGGTGACCCCCAACCATAAAATTATTTTCATTGCTACTTCACAGCTGTAATTTTGCTACTGTTATGAATCATATTGTAAATATCTGATATGCAGGATGTATTTTCATTCACTTGGCCAAATTTGGCAAATACCTGAATACTGGTGGGGTTGGGGTGGGGTGGAGGTTGATTTTGTCATTTTTGGAGTTGCAGTTGCTGGGATTTATAGTTCACCTACAACCAAAGAGCATTCTGAACACCACCAACAATCAAATCAAACAGAGACGTTGCCCAGGGGATGCCCGGATGTGTTACCATCCTCTGGAAGGCTTCTCTCATGTCTGTGCATGGGAAGCTGGGACTGACAGATGGGAGCTCACCCCGTCTTGCAGATTCGAACCACCGACCTTCAGGTCAGCAGTTTAGCCGACACAAGGGTTTAACCCATTGTGCCACAGCAACTCCTGCTTGAGAGGTAACATCCAGCCATCCTTTCTGCTGTCCAGAGGGTCATAGGGTTTGAGTGAATCTACAAGAGAATTTTCTTGCTGAGCCAGATTTTCAGGAAGGAAAAGTCATTGGACCCTGAGAATAACATACAAGTTTGGTTTCCTTTCTGTTCCCAAGATTGTTAGCCTAAACCTGTTTCAGTCATGTGCATTTAAATCATGTACAACCATGAGTCAAACCTATCAGAGTTTTCCTGGCAAGATTTTTCATAATGAGATTTGCCATATTTTCATGCTTAAAGGGTATGATTTGTCCAAAGTAACCTAATGGCCAAGCTTGGATTTGAAAACTGATTTTCAGAGTCCTAGTCTAATACACAAAGCACTGCAGCACACCAGCTCTCCTTGGTTACTTCCTTGTTTCAATTTCAATCATGTTGGTGTTGCATATAAAGCAGGAACGGATTTTAGACTAAGTTTTTTTAGGCAACCTATTGGACTTGGCCTGGCTTCAGAGAGCCTTCTGGCAACCTATCGTAGTGCAATAAACTTGTCCTTTTTTGGTAGCGGCACAAAAAATGGGAAAACCCCACTAAAGAAAGCTCTGTTGGTAGAGATCTCCAATTTTAAATCGTGCTTAAACGTTTTGAATTTTAATTAGCATTTAGTATATGATTTGCTGTTTTAAGTGCTTTGTAGCCTGCTGTTCTTCATATCATGTTCAATGATTGTGTCTGCAATTTACATGGTTCCATGTCTGCATTCTTCCTGAAAGCCATTTTCTTTGTTTACTGGTACGAATGAGAAATAAATGTTGATTTTAAAACAAAGGAATACAATGAGTTGTTGGTACCTGGAAACAGTTGTATGGTAAATTATTTAAAACCATTTATAGATATGGCCACATCATGAGGAGAGAGGAAAGCCTAGAGAAGACAATGATGCTGGGGAAAGTGGAAGGCAAAAGGAAGAGGGGCCGACCAAGGGCAAGATGGATGGATGGCATCCTTGAAGTGACTGGACTGACCTTGAGGGAGCTCCCCAGCTCCTTCGAGGTCAGTCCAGTCACTTCAAGGATGCCATCCATCCATCTTGCCCTTGGTCGCCTCTTCCTTTTACCTTCCACTTTCCCAGCATAATTGTCTTCTCTAGGCTTTGCTGTCTCCTCATGATGTGGCCAAAGACTTCAACTTTGTCTCTAGTATCCTTCCCTCCAATGAGCAGTCAGACTTTATTTCCTGGAGGATGGACTGGTTGGATCTTCTCGCAGTCCAAGGCAGTCGGACTTTATTTCCTGGAGGATGGACTGGTTGGATCTTCTCGCAGTCCAAGGCACTCTCAGCACTTTCCTCCAGCACCACAGCTCAAAAGCATCTCTCTTCCTTCACTCAGCCTTCCCTAAGGTCCAGCTCTCACATCCATAGGTGACTACAGGGAATACCGCTATGCTAATTATAATATATTATATGTACATATAATATTGATCATAATATTGTAATACAATATAATACTACTAATAGTACAATATAATAATACAATAATTATATTTTTATATTACAGGTAATATTAATATTGCAGTATACTGGTATAGTACAATATATTAATATATAATACTAATATTGTGCTATGCTAATTATAATATATTGTATAAGCTATTGTACATATTATTGTACATTATATTGTATAACCATCTGATCAAAACTTAAAGGCATCACAACTTAATCATATTCATTATGCACTGTAAATCTAATGAACTTGGGACATACTAATTTTAGGATAACGTGTGCACATTGTGCCACATGATACAATCTAGAAAGACCATGACTCAATGCACTTCAACAACTGGAAACAACAACAAATGACGGTTTTATTGGTGACTTTCCAAGGCTTTAACACCATTTACTAACTATGTTTCCTCTGCTGTTTGCCATTCCATCAAATTGACCATGATCAGTCTTCTTTTGATTCCAAGGCTGGTTTCATTTCTAAAAACAGGAAAGGAAAATACTTGTCAGACTTTGGAAGATCTTTGAGTTAAAAAATCAAACTCACAACAATAAAACACTGGAGAAAAGTGGTTTATTCCTTCTTTTCACAATCCTAAAAAGACAGTTCTAAAGTTTCCCCGCTCAAAACTCCTGTATATATCAGCCCCAACTCCCATTCGCCCCCTAGTGGCCAAGTACTGTGCCCACAATGTTAACTGCAGTTTCAATTTCCCTCTCAAAACAGACTTCTTATTTATACTACCTTCCCCAACTGTACCCAGCCTACCTCCCACCCTACCTCTCTTCTTTATGGCAGAGAACCAAAGCAGCCAGTCCCAGGCTGATGTGGTGGTTCTGTAAGGGATCATGGGTTTAGGGTTTTGTTTTTTTGTCGTGTCAGGAGCGACCTGAGAAACTGCAAGTCACTTCTGGTGTGAGAGAATTGGCCATCTGCAAGAACGTTGCCCAGGAGATGCCTGGATGAATTGATGTTTTTATCATCCTTGTGGGAGGCTTCTCTCATGTCCCCGCATGAGGAGCTGGAGCTGATAGAGGGAGCTCATTCGCCTCTCCCCGGATTTGAACCTGCGACCTGTCGGTCTTCAGTCCTGCCAGCACAGGGGTTTAACCCACTGCACCACCGGGGGCTCCATATGGGTTTAGGGTGCGGGGTCCCTTTTCGAAGAAATCCACAGAGTCCAATAGGTTCAGGTAAGGCACCGTTTATTCAAGCTAATCAGCATGAGGCAAACAGACAGCACTTTTGTAAGTGCTTCCAAAGACTGCCGTGCCCTCCTCTGTTTTTGCTGACCTTTATACTCAAGTAATACAAGGGTTTTTTGGTCATGGAAAGTACTCTCTTTCCAGCCCACCTCCCTTGACCTTTTGATGGAAAGTACCTTCTTGCACCTGCAGACTTTGTGCTTAACCACAACCCAACTTCCTATGTAAGCTCGAACTTTGTATGACCTCTACGTGTCACCTCTTGTTTTTAAAACATTTTCTTCCATGTTGCTCCTTTTTTACAGAGAAGGGGTACATTTTTATGTTTGTTTACTAAAGGCTTTAGCCATTGCTGATTTCACTCAAAGCCCCTTGCTTAGCTATTGCTAATTTCACTCAAAGACCGTTTCAGTTCTGATATTACTACGTTAATACAACACAGTGTTTCACTGATGAAATGCCAATGACATGGACATTATTCCATTTAGTCTAGCTGGAAGAAGTGCGTGTCTTATTATTTATTTATTTCCTATATTTATACCCCGCCCTTCTCCCCCCGAAGGGGGATTCAGGGCGGCCTAACAAAAGCATCATAAAAACAATCAACAATACAATCATAATATTAGAAATATTAAAACAACAGTTAAAACAATTAATTAAGACACATCCATTAAAATCGAAATCCAAAAGCAGTCCGGGTCAATTCATTGCCATAAGTTGTGTGATCTTCTTCTACTTGCTGCTCACTGATTAAATGCTTGTCCCCATAACCAGGCCTTGATTTTCCTTCTAAAAGACAGAAGGGAGGTGGCTGATCTGATATCTCTAGGGAGGACATTCCACAGATGGGAGGGCCACTGCTGAGAAGGCCCTGTCCCTCGTCCTCATCAGTTGCATTTGCGATTGCAGTGGGATCGAGAGCAGGGCCTCCCCAGATGATCTTATGTTTCATGATGGTTCATAACAGGAGATACGTTCAGACAGGTAGTCTGGGCCAGAGCCATTTAGGGCTTTAAAGGTTAAAACCAACACTTTGAATTGTTCTCGGAAACTGATCGGCAACCAGTGGAGCTGGCGTAACAGAGGAATTGTGTGCTCCCTGTACGCTGCTCCGGTGAGCAACCTGGCTTCCGACCGTTGAACTAGCTGAAGTTTCTGGGCAGTCTTCAAAGGCAGCCCCACGTAGAGTGCATTGCAGTAGTCTATTCAGGGCTACTTGGCTGGACTCATAGTCTTGGCTGGACTCATAGTAGCAAGTAAGCTTACAAGCTGTAGCTGCTCAGGAAGACTACAACTGTAGAAGTTAGAACAATACTTTTAGCAAATCACAGTGAATCTTTGGGGAAAATCTTCCCAAGACACGGGTATCTTAAGTACTATCATCGCACTATTCTGTATATTTATCTCCATTGCCCATTCACCAACAAACAACTCATTGACATTAAAGCACCATGCAGAACAATCTTCTCAAAACTGATATTCTGTCAGATGCTTAAGCTTACGTCCTGCCATGCTTCTTTGAGGTGTATTATTATAATATTGTATCTGTTCATCAACATATATTCTGGATAATGCACATTTGGCCAGGTGTTATCTAGACCCAATACTCTATCAAGGAGAGGTTTCTAACCAATATCAGGTTTTCTAAAAAGTTGTTTGATGTTGCTTTGAAAAGCAAAAGTTTCAGTGGAACATCTTGTCAGCCAAGATTCTTCTGAGGCAGAGATGCCATGTTGGTGGCGGAATCACACCTTCAACACAGCAGCAGATGATACATATTTTCATGATGCTTATGTCACACTTTGCTTATTCATAAACAACATGATTTTTTTCCCACCCACAGAAGCATACATCATTCTCTTCAGGCCATTTTCACTGATGATCGCTATCAATGATGACCAGGTTTGATGGGGCAACACTTGACATCTCTTATATTTATATGGGATCATCAGAAGATAAGTATGGTTATAATACGTAATTCTGATTGGTTAGGGATGACACTCTAAGGAAAAAGGGGCTAATCTGTGGAATGTCTAATGCGATGGTTCCCAACCTTCCTAATGCCGCAACCCTTTAATACAGTTCCTCATGTTGTGGTGACCCCCCAACCATAAAACTATTTTTGTTGCTACTTCATAACTGTAATTTTGCGACTATTATGAATCGTAATGTAAATATCTGATATGCAGGATGGATTTTCATTCCCTGGACCACATTTGGCACAAATGCCCGATACACCCAAATTTGAATACTAGTGGAGTTGGGATTGATTTTGTCATTTGGGAGTTGTAGTTGCTGGGATTTATAGTTTACCTACCATCAAAGAACATTCTGAACCCCACAAATGATAGAATTGGGCCAAACTTTCCACTAGGCCTGGGTAACAACGGAAAAATTTGTTTCTAAAATCGATTCGTTTTTTGGGGTTTTTTGCGTTTCGATATTTAAAAGAATTCCGAATTTTTTTAAAAAAAAGTTCGATATTTACGAAATTTCGTAAATGGTAAAAAAATTACAAAACAATAACGAAACAATAACGAAACAATAACGAATCGATTCGTTAATGGCGGACGCGACCGCGCAATACGCTAAAAAACCTCCAAATGGGACAGGGGGAACTTCTGAAGCTTTCCTCTCCCTCTGTTGTTGACTGTTGGTGTGATATTATAATTTTTTTTCACTAATTAAACAAAAAACAACTATAAAACTTGCCCCAGACATGCGGAAATAATAACGAAACGACCTCAAACCAATAACGAAACGAATACATAACGAAATACGAAGCATTTACGAAACGAATTGAAAAATTCGTTTCGTTTTTAAGTTGCTCCAGAATGGTTCGTTATCGCTTCGTTAACAAAAAAATAACGAATTTTTAACGAATTACGAATTAACGAAACGAAACCGCCCAACGTTCACACAAAACCCCATCAACAGCAAACACTGTGTTTTCTGACGGTCTTTGGCAGGGGTCCCGACTTCCAGGTTTAGAAACACTGGTCTAATGGGATCCTGTATAAGCATCCAGCGCTTAGACGTAGGACTAGAATGATTGCACATTGGTGCTTTGCAAAGAAATGTGCCAGAAACAGATACAATATGATGCCTGCTCTGAGATACTTGGAGTATGAAGGAAAGAAAGGACAATGTGCGATGAGTCTAACAAAGTCTTAGGTCAATCCAAAGCATTATCCATAGGGGATAAGACTATCAATAGCTGCTAATCATGATGGCTGTATACAACTACCAGGTTTAGAATGCTTCTCAGTACCCTTTGTAAAGAAACTGATTACAATTATATCATCTTAATTGTTTTTATTATATTCTTATAAATAAATAAATAAATAGTAAATAAATAAAGTGGAAATAAAAGACTAGATTTTTTCCTACATCAAGTAACTCTTCATATCATCTTAAACTAACACATTGTATAGCATAAGTGTCTGGAATATGATACAAGCAGCAGCCATAATCCAGAAAAAAATAGAAAACCTTAATTTCTGAGTCATTGTGGTTCAAGTGTTGAAATGGGATTTGGGAGAACCCCCAAAAATAAAAGCTTATTGGACAAAAGTTGTGGTCAAATGTAACTATCAAATAACATTTTCTGTTAACACCACTTACCGATAATCTCACTGTTGGGATGCAATGAATTTCCCTCTGTGCCAAAAGGCTTTGGCTTGGACATCTCCAATCCAGCCAGGAGGGTCATGAAATCCACCACGGTGTCAATGTTTTCCTTGTCTGCTGTAACGTCCCTCAGTGTGCACAGGACACTCAGCCGGCTGAAGGACTTGATTTCCGAGATGTTGGCTCTCAGGAACAACAAGATGATATTCAGGTCATTCATAGGGCAAGTCAGCATCTTCCTGCTGAGAAGGTCAAAAGCTGGGAGCATCTCATAGATGGACAAAAGTCGCTTATCCCAGTGGAAGAGGTGGAGCAAATGGTAGATCACAACAGGGCCCAGGAGGACATACATGGTCCCAAGGCAGATGCTGGTCATTTGGAAGACTGAGAAAAATAGGAGCTTGCAGGGAACGGAATCTGGGAGATGCGGTTCATTCCGTAGGAGTCCTGCCTTGATTGCACAACCAAATTCATCTTGGAAGAAGACACTCACGTGGCAGTAACCGAGGTAGATACAAGTGGCGACCATGAGGGAGAGGAGAACAAGGTTCCTCAAAACGTAGATGCCCACGAGGTAGTAAGAGCGCTGCTTGCAAGTCAAGTACCTCTCCAGTAGAGGGAATTCGAAGTAGCGTTCCCGGCGAGCTCTTTATAACAAAGACACACAAACAAGGGCTGTTAATATGGAGCTCTGACCTTTCTACAAGACCACTTCCAACACTAGACATATCCAACTATTCGCCACCAGTGCTAAACTCATCTTCACTGGAGGAGAGCCCAGTGTCCTGGGATGGTTAGGATGGAAATTACATGGCTCTTTAGATGTTATTGAATTCTAACTCTAAGCCTTCTTTATATTTAACTAATCATCCCCTGCCACATGTTGCTGTGGCTCAGTCTGTGTATATATGTTTTGTGTGTATATATGTGTATATGTGTGTGTGTATATTTGTGTATATATGTATTTATGTGGTTATGCATAGATACACATGTGGTTATGCCAGAGCCCCGGTGGCACAGTGGGTTAAACCGCTGAGCTGCTAAACTTGCTAACCGAAAGGTCACAGATTCAAATCCGGGAAGCAGCATGAGCTCCTGATGTCAACCCCTAGCAATTTGAAAACATGCACATGTGAGTGTGAGTAGATCAATAGGTACCTCTCCGGTGGGATATGCTGCATCCCTCTTGACCAGTAGTTCTCAACCTTTCTAATGTCAAGACCCCTTAGTACAGGTTCTCCTGTTGTGGTGACCCCCAACCATAACATTATTTTCGCTGCTATCTTATAACTGAAATTTTGCTACTGTTATGAATCGCAATGTAAATATCTGATATGCAGGATTTATCTTTATTCACTGGACCAAATTTGGCACAAATACCCGATACGCCCACATTTGAATACTGGTGGCATTGGAGGGGGGATTGATTTTGTCATTTCGGAGTTGTAGTTGCTGGGATTTATAGTTCACCTACAAGCAAAGAGCAGTCTGAATTCCACCAATGATGGAATTGAACCAAACTTGACACATAGAATTCCCATGACCAACAGAAAATACTGGAAGGGTTTGGTGGCATTGACCTTGAGTTGGGGAGTTGTAGTTCACCTACATCCAGAGAGCACTGTGGACTCAAACAATGATGGATCTGGACCAAACTTGGCATGAATACTCAGTATGTCCAAATGTGAACACTGTTGGAGTTTGGGGGAAAACAGACTTTGACATTTGAGAGCTGTAGTTGCTGGGATTTATTGTTCACCTACAATCAAACAGCATTCTGAACTCCACCAGTGATAGAATTGAGCCAAACTTCCCACACAGAATCCTCATGACCAACAGAAAATATTGTGTTTTCTGATGGTCTTTGGCACCCCCTTGCGACCCTCCCAGGGGTCCCGACTCCCACATTGAGAACCACTGCTCTTGACCTTCTGGAAACAAGTAAAATCCAGGCTATGGGATCAGGCCTTTGGAGAATAGGCTGACTTGTTGACGTGTTGACTTATATAGAACTGATGGACTGCCCCTTGGATGATGATTTAAACTGGTGACCGGTGACTAATTAAATGATTGTTTTTATACTGTTTTATATTGTTTTATACTGCTTATACTGTTTTATATTGTTGTTATTATTATATTGCTGTTAATTGCATATTTATGTTTTGATGTGGGCACAATGGGGTGCCACTTTGTTAGCTGTCCTGAGTCCCTCTGCGAAGGTTGAGAAAGGATGGGATATAAAAGCCCTAAATAAATAATAAATAAATAAAATGGTGCTCCATGCAGTCATGCCAGCCATGGAGATGTCTATGGACAACACCGGCTCTTCGGCTTAGAAATTGAGATGAGCTCCAACCCCCAGAGCCGGATACAACTGGACTTAATGTCAGGGGAACAATGTCGTTATGTGCACGCGTTGTAATGTGTCTTTCAGTAATAATAATAATAATAATAATAATAATAATAATAATAATCACACAGTCCTAGATGCTTGAGAAGTGTTCGACTTGTTGTTTTGTGATACGAAATCTAGCATATAGATCTCATTTGCTATGACATACTGTGTTTTTATGTCAATAATAATAATAATAATAATAATAATAATAATAATAATAAGTTATTTGTAACCTGCTCTATCTCCCCTGGGCAGATTCCAGACAAAAAAGTGGCAAACATTCAATGCCATAATAAGCGAACCAACCAAATACATAATAAAGCAGTACATAAAATAAACATCACTGTGAACATATAATAATTAACACACAAATAAATAATTAAAACAAATAAGTCTCATCACCCACAGTTACATCATCACATGATATCAATAATTAAAGTGCCTTAAAAGTATAAAGCATAAAATGATGATGAAGATGTTATGTAAAAAAATTATGTACAGACATCAACAGCGCCAAGGTGGATTTCCAGTATCCGAAGGGTTTACATATTGAGTTGTTCTACTCCTTCTCCTCTCCATATGCTAGGTTGCAAAGATATTTTTTAGAAGTCTTTTAAAGGAGAGGAAAGAGGGAGCCATTTTTATTTCTTTGGGGAAGGCGTTCCATAGGAGGGGAGTGATCACGGAGAAGGCCCCGTCTCTCGTCCCCACCAGCTACACCTGAGATGAGGGTGAGATTGAGAGCAGGACCTCCTCCACTTTGTATTTAGCCGATCAGTGGATGAGGCCCCACTCTCAGTCCCACATGTCTCAAGCATGGCTGGTGGCAACGAGAGGGGGGGCTTTCTATGTGCTTGCTCCCTGCTTCTGGAACACCCTCCCTAAATATATCAAAATGGCCTCTCCCTACCCTCCTTTAAAAATAAACTAAAAATCTTCTTATGTGCCCAAGTGTATAGAGAATATGAGGTGGAGAATATCATCTACGGTCATCCTGGAATGGAAATGGTCTGTCACTTTGGCTCTGCTGGCTTTTAAACTCGTAATTTCATACTTTTTTTTGTCTTGTTTTGTTCTTTGTTTGTTTTCCTTAAATTGGGTGTGAATTTGTAATTTTGTTGTTACCCTCCAATTTTGGTAATGTCTCTATTATTTTAATGTGGGTGTCGATTTGGTTTGTGGGGCTTGGGTGGTTTTGCTTATTTTGTTCTTCGTCCAGCACCTTATGGCATTGAATGTTTGCCAATTTCTTGTAAACCGCCCTAAGTCCCTATGGGGAGATAGAGCGGAATATAAATAAAGTTTTGTTATTATTATTATTATTATTATTATTATTATTATTATTATTATTATTATTTGAAACACAACAAGTTGAGTCCACAGTATACATGATCACTCTGCTGGCTGTTTTATTATTATTATTATTATTATTATTATTATTATTATTAGAAACAAAACAAGATGAGTCCACAGCAGACACTCTGCGGGCTGTTGAATTGGATCACACATCGCACACTTCCCAAGTGTCTAGGACTGTTTGGTGTATCGGCGAATAATAAGTGCAGATCCCAGTAAGGTGGCCTTTTGCAGCTGGCAGATGGTAATTTTGTCAGCACCAATTGTGTTTAAGTGCAGGCCAAGGTCTTTAGGCACTGCACCCAGTGTGCCGATCACCACTGGGACCACATTTACTAGCTTTACTAGATCGTTAAATCATTATTATTATTATTATTATTATTATTATTATTATTATTATTATTATTATTATTCTGATACAAAAGCACAGTTTGTCACAGCAAACGAGATGTATATGATGGATTTTATATCAAAAAAATCACAAGTTGGACACTTCCCAAGCGTCTAGGACTGTGTGATGTATTTTCGAATGATGCGCACAGATCCAAGTAAGGTCGCCTTTTGCAGTTGACAGATTGTTATTATTATTATTATTATTATTATTATTATTATTATTATTATTATTGAAGGAATACCACAGGAGCATTCCAGCGCACCCAAATACCTGGGAGTCACTCTGGAACGTGCTCTGATCTACAAGAAGCACTGCCTGAACATCAAGCAAAAAGTGGGTGCTAGAAACAATATCATACGAAAGCTGACTGGCACAACCTGGGGATCACAACCAGACACAATGAAGACATCTGCCCTTGCGCTATGCTACTCTGCTGCTGAGTACACATTCCCAGTGTGGAACACATCTCACCACGCTAAAACAGTGGATGTGGCTCTTAATGAGACATGCCGAATTATCACAAGATGTCTGCGCCCTACACCACTGGAGAAATTACACTGCTTAGCTGGTATTGCACCACCTGACATCCGCCGGGAAGTACCAGCCAATAGTGAAAGGACCAAGGCAGTGACATCTCCAGCTCATCCCTTGTTTGGGTATCAGCCAGCACGCCAATGACTTAAATCATGAAATAATTTCCATGATTCGCTGGAACACCTCAGCAAGCGAGAGTCCAAAATTGGCAGGCTCAAACCCAGCACCTCAATCCGTGGGTGATACCAGATGAGAGACTCCCTCCTGGGCACACAGAAGACTGGGTGACTTGGAAGGCGCTGAACTGGCACCACAAGATGCAGAGCCAATCTTAAGAAATGGGGCTACAAAGTGGAATCCACAACATGCGAATGCGGAGAAGAGCAAACCACAGACCACTTGCTGCAATGCAACCTGAGCCCTGCTACTTGCACTATGGAGGACCTTCTTGCGGCAACACCAGAGGCACTCCAAGTGGCCAGATACTGGTCAAAGGACATTTAATCAACTACCAAGTTTGCAAAATTTATCTGTTTGTTTGTTTTGTTCTGTTAGAAATATAATACAATGGTATGGTTGCTGATGACACTATAAATAAATAAATAAAGCCCGAGGATGTGGACAAGATACTTGGAGGAATGAGGCCCACCACGTCCATCCTAGACCCCTGCCCATCCTGGCTTCTGAAGGAGGCCAGAGGGGGATTGGCTGAGTGGGTAACGGTGGTGGTTAATGCCTCCCTTCGGGAAGGCACGATTCCAGCGAGCCTAAAACAGGCTATTATAAAGCCGCTGTTGAAGAAACCATCACTGGACCCCACTAAATTTGACAACTTTCGGCCTGTTTCCAATCTTCCCTTTTTGGGCAAAGTCATGGAAAGCGTGGTGGCCTCACAACTCCAGGTATTCTTGAGAGACACGGATTATCTGGATCCGGCGCAGTCTGGTTTCAGACCGGGGCATGGTACTGAGACGGTCTTGGTCGCCTTAGTGGATGATCTCCGCCGGGAGCTAGACAGGGGGAGTGTGTCCCTGTTGGTGCTCTTGGATCTCTCAGCGGCCTTCGATACCGTCGACCACGGTATTCTTCTGGGACGCCTTGCAGAGATGGGCCTTGGGGGCACCGCTTTGCGGTGGCTCCAATCATTTCTGGAGGGACGTACCCAGAAGGTGTTATTGGGGGACTCCTGTTCAACACCACAGCCTTTGACCTGCGGTGTTCCTCAGGGCTCCATACTGTCCCCCATGCTGTTTAACATCTACATGAAGCCGCTGGGTGAGATCATCCGGAGTTTCGGGGTGCGGTGTCATCTGTACGCAGATGACGTCCAACTCTGTCACTCCTTTCCACCTGCTACTAAGGAGGCTGTCGGTCCTGAACCGGTGCCTGGCCGCTGTAATTAGCATTGAACAGACCTTCATAATCCAGACAAGACAGAGGTACTCCTGGTCAGTCGCAAGGCCGAACGGGATATAGGGTTACAGCCTGTGCTGGACGGGGTCGCACTCCCCTTGAAGGCGCAGGTTCGCAGCTTGGGTGTGACCCTGGGTCTCATCGTTGAGCCTGGATCCCCAGGTTTCAGCGGTGACCAGGGGAGCATTTGCACAGCTTCGGCTCGTGCGCCAGTTGCGCCCGTACCTTGGGAAGTCTGACTTGGCCACGGTGGTACACGCTTTGGTCACATCCCGTCTTGACTACTGCAACGCTCTCTACGTGGGGCTGCCCTTGAAGACGGCCCGGAAGCTTCAGCTAGTCCAGCGCGCGGCAGCCATGTTGTTAACTGGAGCGGGACGCAGGGAGCACACAACGCCCTTGCTGTCCCAGCTCCACTGGCTGCCGATCTGCTACCGGGCCCAATTCAAGGTGCTGGTGCTATCCTACAAAGCCCTAAACGGTTCCGGCCCAAAATACCTTGCAAACCGCATCTCGGCCTATGAGCCCACGAGGACCTTGAGATCATCTGGGGAGGCCCTTCTCTCGGTCCCGCCTGCCTCGCAGGCACGCCTGGCGGGGACGAGAGAGCGAGCCTTCTCGGTGGTGGCCCCCCGGCTATGGAACTCCCTCCCTGCTGAAATCAGACAGGCACCTTCCCTCATGGCCTTTCGCAAGGGCCTGAAAACTTGGCTCTTCGAAAAGGCCTTTAGCTAGTGCTATGTTTCCTTGGAATGATCACCGGAATGGACTATGACGATGAGATTGACTATGACCCTAATCTAGACGAAGCGGATTTTTATATGTGTGTGATTGTCTTGTTCCATTGTAAATTGTTGTTTTTTCTATGTTTTGTACACCGCCACGAGTCGCCTCCGGGCTGAGAGTGGCGGTTAACAAGTGCAAGTAATAAATAAATAAATAAATAAATAAATATTATTATTATTATTATTATTATTATTATTATTATTTTACTGACACAGAAGCACAGTATGTCACAGCAAATGAGATCTATATGGTGGATATTATTATTATTATTATTATTATTATTATTATTATTATTACAACAAAACCTTCAGTATTTGCTCTTCCACAGACCTATCCAGCCCCACATCCAGTTTGAGCTTACTTGTCATACTCCTCCCAGAGTTCTTCCGGGTCAGTTCCAGACTGCTGGAGTTTCACCATGTGCTGCACCAGCCGGATGGAACGGTTATACGACTTATCCAGCTCATCAATGATGAAGAACAAATCACAGTTCAGGGATGGGGCAGCAGCATATCTCCAGATCAGATAAGGTATATACATAGCAACAGCAATCACTAGTAAAGAATATGGGAAGATCTGTTGAGAGAGAAAAAACAAGAAATACAGGCTGTGGAGGCAATTATGATCACGGAATGAGAAGACAGAACATAGTCCTAACATGTTTGGCTTGTGGCCCTTAAAGTAGGAGGGTAGAATCAACAGAGAGACAGACCCTTATAAAGAAATGTCATTGGAAGAATACCCACTTGTTGTGGTCAGTGAATATACAAGGCAATGCATTCCTTTGCTTGGGAGTATTCCTTTGCTATAGGAGTCTAGTGTCTAGATCCAGGGAAGTCATGCTACCCCTCTATTCTGCCTTGGTGAGACCACACCTGGAATATTGTGTCCAATTCTGGGCCCTCCAATTGAAGGGAGATGTTGACAAGCTGGAATGTGTCCAGAGGAGAGTGACTAAAATGATCAAGGGTCTAGACAACAAGCCCTATGAGGAGTGGGTTAAAGAGTTGAGCATATTTAGCCTGAAGAAGAGAATTTATTACTTATTTATTTATTTGCTGTATTTGTATACCGCCTTTCTCAGCCTATCGGCGACTCAAGGCGGTTTCAACAAAACAGTATACACAGTATCACAATACAATTTAAAAACATTAAAATTACATAAACCACAAAAGCAATAGAAAACAACATCATTGGCGTCTCCTTATTGTCAAGCATTGTCCGATTCCATCGTCAATCGTCAATTTCCTATATCATTTATCCATATCCGCTACTCTGTGTTTGCGAACGCTTGCTCAAACAGCCACGTTTTGACTTGCTTCCGAAACATTAAAGAGGGAAGGAGCAGATCTAATCTCTCTAAGGAGGGCGTTCCATAGCCGGGGGGGCCACTGGTGAGAAGGCCCTGTCTCTCGCCTCTGCCAAGTGTACCTGTGACGAAGGCGGGACCGAGAGCAGAGCCTCTCCGGATGATCTCAAGGTTCTAGATGGTTCGTAAAGGGAGATACGTTCGGACAGGTAAGTTGGGCCAGAACCGTTTAGGGCTTTAAAGGTTAAAACCAGCACTTTGAATTGCGTCCGGTAGCAAACTGGCAGCCAGTGGAGCTGGCGCAACAGGGGGGTTGTATGCTCCCTGAGAGCCGCTCCTGTTAGCAATCTGGCTGCTGTCCATTGGACCAGTTGAAGCTTCCGGACAGTCTTCAGAGGCAACCCCACATAGAGAGCATTGCAGTAGTCTATATGGGATGTAACAAGAGCGTGGACTACCATGGCCAAGTCACACTTCCCAAGGTACGGGCACAGCTGGTGCACAAGCTTTAATTGTGCAAATGCTCCCCTGGTCACCGCTGAGACCTGGGGTTCCAGGCTCAGCGATGAGTCCAGGATCACACCCAGACTGCGAAACTGCGTCTTCAGGGGGAGTGTAACTCCATCCAACACAGGCTGTAACCCTATGCCCTGTTTGGCCTTACGACTGAGAAGGCTGAGAGGAGACATTATGAGGGCCATATATAATTATGTGAGGGGAAGTCATAGGGAGGAGGGAGCAAGCTTGTTTTCTGCTTCCCTGGAGACTAGGATGTGGAACAATGGCTTCAAACTACAAGAAAGGAGATTCCATCTGAACATTAGGAAGAATTTCCTGACTGTGAGAGCCGTTCAGCAGTGGTGGAGGCAACTTCTTTGGAGGCTTTTAAACAGATGCTGGATGGTCATCTGTCAGGGGTGCTTTGAATGTGAGTTTCCTGCTTCTTGGCAGGGGGTTGGACTGGATGGCCCATGAGGTCTCTTCCAACTCTATGATTCTATGACTCATGGGCTTTGTGTACGACCACCCCATGTCTCCCCATTTGTACAAATGTTTATAATCCTTATTTTCTAATCTTTCCGACCCATGTCTGTTTTAATAAATGTTGGGGCACTTGCCAAAAAGGCATCAGACTTATGTTTAAAATGCACAGATCCAAGTATGATGATCCTCCAAGTGCACATCCTTCTTTTGAAACATACTGTACCTTCAGAACCCAGAGGGGCTTGGGTCTCAAATCTTCCACTAGGTCCGCATCATAGTGAAGTAAGGAATCCCAGCACATGGTATCCACATAGGCAGCCTGCTTTCCTGTAAAGTTGCTAGGAGAGAAGCAGCTGATCTGAGTGCCTAGGAAGGAGAACAAGGAAGAAACACTGGCCTCAAGTACCAACATGTACTGCCTGTTCCATTGACTGTAGTACTTCACTGCCACAGCTCTGCAGCATGGACTAATTGATAGTTTTGCACAACGAGCAGAGCCATTTCGATAGGAGTTGCACCCTGCGCTCAAGAACTAACTTCAAAGCACTTGCATATTATCAGGTTCCCTCGCTCTTTCATTTGCCACCAGACACGGTAACCATTCATGTGCAGAGCTTCAGCAGAAATGTAAATTCAGTTGTTAGTCCCAGCTAGATCAAACCCATTGAACAAATTGGACTTTTCAGTTAATTCTGTTGGAAAATACAGTATTAGCTCTTTTCAAAAGACAGTAAAGTAGTGTTTCTCAAACCTTCTTAACACCACGACTCCTTAATACAGTTCCTCGTGTTGTGGTGACCCCCAACCATAACATTATTTCCATTGCTACTTCATAACAATAATTTTGCTACTGTTAGAAATTGTAATGTAAATATCTGATATGCAGGATGTATTTTCATTCACTGGACCAAATTTGGCACAGAAACCCAATACACCCAAATCTGAATTCTGGTTGGGTTGAGGGGATTGTAGTTGTTGGGATTTATAGTTAATCTACAATCAAAGAGCATTCTGAACTCCACAATGGAAGTGAACCAAACTTGGCACACCAAACTCCCATGACCAACAGAAAATACTGGAAGTGTTTGGTGGGCATTGACCTTGAGTTTTGGATTTCCAGTTCACCTATATCCAGAGAGCACTTTGGACTCAATGATAGATCTGGACCAACCTTGGCACGAATACTCAATATGCCCAAATGTGAACACTGGTGGAGTTTGGGGAAAATAGACCTTGATATTTGGGAGTTGTAATTGCTGGGATTTATAGTTCAGATGAAGAGAGAGGGGGGCCAGGGGTAGTTCCACCTTGTCTTCTGTGCTATTCTAATAATCTAATCTAATCTAATCTAATCTAATATATTGTATATACATATAATATTTATAATATTATAATGTAGCGCAGTGGGTTAAAGCGCTGAGCTGCTGAGCTTGTTGACCAAAAGGTCGCAGGTTTGATTCCGGGGGCCGTGTGAGCTTCCACTGTCAGTCCTAGCTTCTGCCAACCTGACAGTTCGAAAACATGCAAATGTGCGTAGATCAATAAGTACCGCTCCGGTGGGAAGGTAACGGCGCTCCATGCAGTCATGCCGGCCACATGACCTTGGAGGTGTCTATGGACAACGCCGGCTCTTCGGCTTAGAAATGGAGATGAGCACCATACCCCAGTCAGGCATGACTGTACTTAATGTCAGGGGACTACCTTTACCAAAGGACATGTAATCAACTACCAAGCTTGCAAACTTTATTTTCTGTCTGTTTGTTTGTTTTATTCTGTTAGAAATGTAAATTGTCTGGTTGCCCCTGACATGATAAATAAAGCTTTACCTTTTAATGCAATATTATAATAATATGATATTATAATTATATATTTATATTACATGTAATATTACTAATAATATTACAATATAATGAAAAAGTACAATATAGTAATATTTAATACTGTTATTGTACTATGCTAATAATATAATATATTGTATGTATATATATCTTGGTGAGAAGGGCAGCATATAAATGTCGTAAATAAATACATAAATAAATCTATAATCAAAGAGCATTCTAAATGATAGAATTGGGCCAAACTTCCCACACAGAACCCCCATGCCTTGAAGGGACTTGTGGTGTGAGCCTCCCTCCAGCCTCACACGCTCTCCCTCGACTGTGCATGCGCACCACGCTGCCATGTGCCGAACACGCCTGCTCTCCCCTCCTCGCTTGGAGTCTCAGAAGCAGCCCTCCCCTTAGCAGAGAGGCCAGCCAGTCACAATGGAGGAGAGCTTTTGGAGGAAGCTTCCGCCATGTGTCCAAAAAGGAAAAGAAGGACAGGCGGAGAGATCTTCAGCCTTCTCTGCCAAAGGGGTTTCTAAAACAATCAGAAATATATGTGCTTTCTGATGGTCTTTTGTGACCCCTCTGAAATCCCTCACAGCCCCCCCCCCCCAGGGGTCCTGACCCCAAGTTGAGAAATGCTGCAGTAAAGGAACCAGAAGATGTTTCCCACCTGACACAAAAGACAAGAAGACACCCGCTTCTTCCTTCTACATATAGAAATTTCCTGGATGGTATCTGAAACCAAGCAATGCTGCGTAGGGGATATTGGGAGCAGTAGTTGAAACACTGAAATTTTCTAAGTTTCGGTTGAAATCTACCCCCAATAGTAGCAATCAGGTAATATCCTCCACTACACCGAAAGCAGCAGATTACAGTCTGTCTTCCACATTTGCAGGTTTCACTTCTGAGGATGCGATTATTTTATTTATTTATTTATTTATTTACTTTATTTGCATACTGCCTTTCTCAGCCCACAGATGACTTAAGGCAGTTTAAAGGTAAAGGTAAAGGTAGTCCCCTGACAATAAGTCCAGTCATGTCTGACTCTGGGGTGTGGTGCTCATCTCCATTTCTAAGCCGAAGAGCCAGCGTTGTCCGTAGACACCTCCAAGGTCATGTGGCCGGCATGACTGCATGGAGCGCCCTTACCTTCCCGCCGGAGTGGTACCTATTGATCTACTCACATTTGCATGTTTTCGAACTGCTAGGTTGGCAGAAGCTAGGGCTGACAGCGGAAGCTCACGCCGCTCCCCAGAATCGAACCTGCGACCTTTCGATCAACAAGCTCAGCAGCTCAGTGCTTTAACCCACTGCGCCACCGAGGGCTCCATTAAGGCAGTTTACAGGGTAAAATTCAATGCATACAATATCATAAATACAATTAAAACACTACATATAATAAAAACTAAACAGAATCAATTAAATATAAATCCATAGTGTCTCCTTGTTAAAAACGTTGTCCGGTCGTTCCGTTGTCCTGTGTCAATTACTCTGCATTTGCAAATGCTTGTTCAAAAAGCCATATCTTGAAGTTTTTTCTGGAATGTTAAAAGGGAAGTGGCCGCTCTGATATCAATAGGGAGGGCGTTCCACAGCCGAGAGGCCACCACCGAGAAGGTCCTGTCACTCATCTCCGCCAAACGTACCTGTGATAAAGGTGATAACGAGAGCAGGGCCCCCTGAGACGATCTCAAAGTCCTAGGTGGTTCATAAGGGGAGAAGCATTCGGATAGGTAAGTTGGGCTTTATAGGCTAAAGCCAGCACTTTGAATTGTGCCCAGTAGCAAACTGGTAAGCAGTGAAGCTGGTGTAACAGAGAAGTTGTATGCTCCCTGTGTGCTGCTCCTATTAGTAATCTGGCTGCCGTTTGCTGGACCATTTGAAGCTTCCGGACAGTCTTCAAAGGAAACCCCACGTAGAATGTGTTGCAGTAGTCTATACGGGATGTAACCAGAGCGTGGACTATCGTGACAAAATCAGACTTCCCAAGGTATGGCCGAAGCTGGAGCACAAATTTTAACTGTGCAAATGCTCCCCTGGTCACCGCCAAAATTTATTCACAAATTGGATTAACACATTATCTCTATGAATCACTTGCTCCTCCAGTTCAACTTTATGGTCAATGTCTGGTCCAAACCTACCCTAGAGTTGCCCTGAAGAACCTAGAAATTTTTCATGTGTTTTTTTTTTCAAAAAAGGAAAATCCCTAGAACTCTTATAAAGTTACAAAAAAACTGGGTAAAAGCACAACTGATGTAGGATTGCAAAAGCTATTTCTTTAGGGATGACAAAAAATTGGTTTGTAATAATTTCCAAAAAGCATGAAAATAGAGTTGGGAACTGCACCATTCATTGATTAAATGGCTTGTGTACTTTTGCCTCAACCGAGTATCCAAAAGCCAGGAGTGGGTGTCTGTTTGGACACACAAGTCTCATTTATAAATACTTTGCATACCAGCAAGGAAAGCGTTCCACAGTTTGTTTTTAAAATACTGTTTATATACTGTGGGTGCTATCTAAATAAATGGACCACTAATCATCTATCTTGATGGTATGTTCAAACCCCACAAATGATTCTGTATGAGTCAGTACAGGCTAGAGGGAAGATATTTTTATTTATTCCCCCTAGATCTGTCCAACCTCACATAGGCATTCCCTATCTAAAAAAGAAAAAAAAAATCCTGAGGCAAGTTGAGAATAGCAACTAACTATGCAACCTCAGCTAAATTACTGCCAGGCTTCTGCAAAGTTACAAGTAGTTTGTTGCATAGCCTGTTGCACTCCAGGACAAGAAAAACTCTCTAACTTTAAACACCACACCGTTGGATGGAAAACAATCCTTTTATTTAAGATAAATAAAAAGCAGTAAGGTAAAAAACACTGTAAAGAAATAGGTAAATTTAATTAGGTAGGAAGATAAGCAGGAACAAAGTACTCCAGGGTAATAGTCCAGCAAAGTCCATAAAAACAAAGCCAAAACCTCTCAAATGAAATGTAAGAAATCAGGAAACATGAACCCAAGGCATGAATATAGAAACATAAAATCCAAGAATCAAAAACATGAAACAAAGGCACTTAAAACATGAATAAATGTAATTCAATAATAGAATAAAATAATAAATATAATAGAGTAAGATAATAAATGTAATAATAATAATAATAATAATAATAATAATAATAATAATAAATTGAGTAAAATAATAATTGTAGTAAAAATAATAATAACAGAGTAAAATAATGTTAAAAAAAAAAACTTTGACTTGGGTATAAGCCGAGGGGAGCTTTTTTCAGCCTAGAAAAAGGACTGAAAAACTCAGTTTGTATACGGTAATTTAATCTGGATCCATTTTACTGATTTAAAAAATTCCCCACAACAAATAATACAATAAACAGCAGTCTTTGTATTATCAGACACATTTAAAACCTACCTGCAGAAAACTCCCGAGCAAACGCCAAGGACATTAGCACGAGAGGCAATCCTACTGTCACAAACTTCACCATGCGGTCGCAAGGTAATTCCAGGCGAAGCCCTTTAGCCCTGGAGCCATTTGGATCTGGAAGCAGAGCATCTGAGAGCATATACTGGCCAGCTGTGTGGGCGATCGACATGATTATTTCGGATGGGGAGCCGTGCACAACACAGGAAAGGTCAAGGCAGCTGCTGTTGCTACTGCTCTGGGCAGCTCTCAAATGGCATCTCAAGCCCTTTACCGCTTTCCCTTTTGCGCCTGTTGAATGGAAATGTGTTATGTGTAGAAAATTAGGTCCTGGGCAGTTGTCAATAAGAGCCTTGGCTGCCTGCTAAACAAAATTACAGGGCTGGCCTATACACTAGCCCGTCCCAGAAATAGCGCAAAATGAAGAGCAACATCCTTTGATTGCTGGGGACACCACGTCCCGCAGTTTTCCATAAGGCTGGGTCTTTGTGGTTTTTCCTTCCCCTTTCATAAACAGAAGTTATTTTCAGCAGGCCTTGGCAGGATTGTGGGTTTGGTTTCACGTTTGAGAACATCCAAGAATGGGTTTGGGGGATGGATAGATGGCTGATGGGCAAGCTTGGGCCAGGCTTTGATTTTCAGAGAAGCCTGGGTGGTGGGAAGCTCTGAACACCTGCATTCGGAAGATATTTTGAGCCCTGTGGTTTATGACCACAATATGGGGCAAATTGAACAGAACCTTTTCCAGATTTGATGCTTAGTGCTTGGCAAACGCCAGAAGTCCACAAGTATATTGAATCACCACCAAGGCCCCTGACATACAAGAATATACAAAGCACTCCTGACAGATGTCTATTTACTCTCTGTTTGAGAACCTCTGGAGGAGACTCCATCACAATCTGATTTAAGTTAAAGACAGCTTTCAGGATTCTCCCCTCAGTATCCTTAACACTAACCCGGCCCCGACTCCCAAACCCAGAACCCTGTCCCTAAACCATAAACCAGGGGTCCGCAAACTACAGCCCGCGGGCCACATGCGGCCCGCCAAGGGGATTTACCTGGCCCGCCGAGGAGGAGGCCTCCCTCTCAGTGGAATCTGTCTTGGCTCTACTAACGCAGAGCTCCTTTTGTTCTTTCTGTCTCCCTCTCACGCTCTCTTTCTCCCCAGTTCAGTCTCTCCCCCTTTCCCCCTCTTTTTCTTTCTCTTTCTCCCTCCTCCTTTCTCCCTTCTTTCTCCCCTTTTCTCTCCCATTCTCCTCTTCTTTTTATATCCCTTTCTTCTTCTTCCTCAGAGGAGGTGGATGTGGCGGTGGGTCTGGCTGGAGGCCCGGGGTGGGTGGGTATCCCTTCCCCTTGCGCAGCACTGCCTTCCTGCGTCTCTTGCACGAGTGGTCCTTTTACCGCCAGAACTTGCACATGGACAATCTGGGACGGATGCTGGCACAGCAGGGCTTTCTGGAGCCCGTAGTGTGCAACCCTGCTTTCCTGCACGACCAGGGCCTGTGCGGGTGTGACATGGATCAGAGCCTCCTCTCCATCCTGATCTTTTTCCATGAGTGAGCTGCCCCCGGCAGCCCAGCACCCACACCCAGGGAAGTTGAGACCCTTTATTTAGGCAGGGTTTTCAAAGGAAGTGAGGAGCTGCTGAGCTTTTTTACCTTTGAATGTGTTTTGATACTTTCCATTGAGTGTTTAAAGCAGGCATGGGCAAAACAGCCTTCCAGGTGTTTTGGATTTCAACTCCCACTTCCGGCTGTTAGGAATTGTGGAAAGTGAAGTCCATAACACCTGGAGGGCTGAAGTTTGCCCATGCCTGGTGTGATGAAGTGTACATTTTTCCCCTAGTTATGTATTGTTATAGGTAAGTGTTTGTAATGGTAAGTATATAGTATTGCATAATATTGGGGGATGGTAACCCGCTTAGCTTGCTTTGAGCTGAGTTGCTATGGAGATAGGGGCGGAGCCAACTGCCACTTGGCAGGGCAGCCATTTTGGAAGCAGGCAGTCTGTGGTCGGTGAACTGCAGAACTGGTTGGTTCTGTCCTGTGTGGAGAACCAGAGAGAATCCTGTAGTCAAAGAACTACAGGAAAAGGCTGATACTTTGGTATAAAAAAGAATCAGGAGGTTTTGGCTTGAATCCAATATAGTTTAGATAAGTCGAGTGACTTATTTATATTAAAAGTAACTGTTGTGGAAAAGAGGGGAAACCCTAATAAGCATCTATAGAACCATCATAAAGAAAAAATAAGCATGAAACAACCTGTTAAGAAACATCTTTTTAAAGGAACTAAGTTTGAGACCTGTTTGTTAGAAGAATTAGATTTCCTAAGAGTTATTTAAGAACTGTTATGAACGTAACCATGAAAGATCTGTACCTCTAAGAGAAGAGAAACTTTGAAACCATCAAGCTTCTGTACCTCAATAAACTTGTTACAGTTTACTTTTGAAATCAAGCCTGTGTTGCCATTCTTTTCCAAGTCAAGTCACGCTATATATCAGAGAAAGATCAAAGTAACATTACAAGCTATTGGTTGTGTCATCAATTTAAAAAGCCCCACAAAGAGGTGACTCCTTTTACCAACTTTCTACATATATGTAGCAGTTATACCTATACATCCTTACAATTTGGTGGCATCATTGCAAATTAGTGGCCAAGCCTTTACAATTAGTAGCAGTAATATACGGGCTCCTTCACACCTGGTTTACCCAAAGAGCTTCCCACACACAAAAATTCGGACAGGTAGTTTGGGCATCTGAGGCAGAGAAATCCTGTGCAGCCAATAGGCAGCCCCAAAGCCTCCCCTCGCCATCCAGCCTTCCCTTTTTCTGGAAAACCCCAGTAGTACTCCCTGATATGGCTTCGGGGTACTAGGGAGCTCAGAATTGTATTAGTGTGGCACGAGCAAGGTTCTGGTGTGCTTGCTAATCTATGGACTATTTGACTTTTAAAGAATCTACTAGTACAGTGTTTCTCAACCTTCCTAATGCTGCAACCTCTTAACACAGTGCCTCAGTACCATGAACAAATATACATTATTATTAATAACTAGCTGTCCCCTGCCATATGTTGCTGTGGCCCACATGGCAGTTCTGTGTGGGGGGTTTGTCCCAATTCTATTGTTGGTGGGATTCAGAATGCTCTTTGATTGTAGGTGAACTACAAATCCCACTAACTACAACTCCCAAATGTCAAGATTCTATTTTCCCCAAACTCTACCAGTGTTCGCATTTGGGCATATTGAGTATTCGTGTAGAGTTTGGTCCAGATCCATCATTGTTTGTCTCCACAGTGATCTCTGAATGTAGGTGAACTACAACTCCAAAACCAAAGGACGCTGCCCACCACCCCCTTCCAGTATTTTCTGTTGGTCATGGGAGAACTGTGTGCCAAGTTTGGTTCAATTCCATTGTTGGTGGGGTTCAGAATGCTCTTTGATTGTAGGTGAACTATAAACCCCAGCAACTACAACTCCCAAATGACAAAATCAATTTTTTTGAGTGAACGACAAACATTGGGTTGTTAGGTGTCTGGTGTCCAAATTTGGTGTCAATTTGTCCAGTGGTTTTTGAGTTATGTTAATCCCACAAACTAACATAACATTTTTATTTATATAGATAATACATAGCTTTTCATTTGTACTAATGGAAAGCAAAATCCAATGAAATCCAATGGAAAAGCTCAAAATATGTAACCGTTAGTATAGAATTAAATATTAATAGTATTAGAAAGTAGAAATCTTTGACTGGCGGGTTAGAAACTTCTTTGGGGCTTGGTCTCAAGAGACAGACTGGGATTCTAAGGCAAAGCCCATTTTCAGAGGTGTTTATACCAGGGAATACTAAAGAAAAGGGTTTGCCATTGCCTTCGTATAGCTTGGCATTTCTTGGTAGTGCTCCACTATCTGGGTCTGACTCTGCTTAATTTACAAAAAGACATCTTGCTGCCTTTAAGGCAGTGTTTCTCAACGTTCCTAATGCCGTAACCCCTTAATATAGTTTCTCATGTTGTGGTGACCCCCAACCCACATGGCAGTTCTGTGTGGGGGGTTGTCCCAATTATTTTCATTGTCAATTCATAACTGTAATTTTGCTACTGTTATGAATTGTAATGTAAATATATGATATGCAGTATGTATTTTCATTCACTGGATCACAAATACCCAACATGCCCAAATTTGAATATTGGTGGGGTTGGGGGGATTTTGTAGTTTGGGAGTTGTAGTTGCTGGGATTTATACTTCTACAATCAACGAGTATTCTGAACTCCACCAACGATGGAACTGAACTAAACTTGGCACACAGAGCTCCCATGACCAACACAAAATACTGGAAGGGTTTGGTGGCCGTTGACCTTGGGTTTTGGAGGTGTAGTTCACCTACATCAAGAGAGCACTGTGGACTCAAACACTGATGGATCTGGACCAAACTTGGCATGAATCCTCAATATGACCAAATATGGAGTTTGGGGAAATCAGACCTTGAAATTTGGGAGTTGTAGTTGCTAGGATTTATAGTTCACCTACAAGCAGACAACCCCTTGAACCCCACCAAAAATAGAATTGGGCCAAACTTCCCACACAGAACTCCCATTCCTTGAAGGGACTCGCTGGCATGAACCTCCCTCTAGCCTTGCATGCTCTTCCTCACCCGCGCATGTGCGCCATGCACCGAGCACACCTGCTCTCCCCTCTCCATTTGGAGTTCTCAGAAACAGCCTTCCTCTTGGCTGAGAGGCCACTCAATTACAGCGGAGAAGAGCTTTTGGTGGGAGGACTAGCTGTCTGTTTCCAAAAAGAAAGAGAAGGACAGGCAGAGAGATCTTAAGTCTTCTTTGCCAAAGGGGTTCCTAAGATCACCAGAAATATATGTTTTCTGATGGTCTTTGGAGACCCCTGCCCAGGGGTTTCGACCCCCAGATTTCAGGTTTTGTTAAGTGTCTGCTCTTGCCCTCTCCAGGCAGCCACCTCTCCACCAAAGTCAACATCGACACCGAAATACAACACCGCCTGAGCTCTGCGAGTGCAGCATTTTCCCAAATGAAGCAGAGAGTGTTTGAGGACCAGGACATCCGTAGGGATACCAAGGTGCTTGTCTATAAAGCTATTGTCCTCCCAACCCTGCTATATGCCTGCGAAACATGGACTGTCTACAGACATCACATGCAACTCCTGGAACGATTCCATCAGCGCTGCCTCCGGAAAATCCTGCAAATCTCTTGGGAAGACAGGCGGACAAACGTCAGCGTGCTGGAAGAAGCAAAGACCACCAGCATTGAAGGGATGGTCCTCTGCCATCAACTCCGTTGGGCCGGCCACGTTGTCCGGATGCCTGACCACTGTCTCCCAAAGCAGTTACTCTACTCTGAACTTAAGAACGGAAAACGGAACGTTGGTGGACAGGAAAAGAGATTTAAAGATGGCCACAAAGCCAACCTTAAAATCTCTGGCATAGAGACTGGGAAGCCCTGGTCCTTGAGCGCTCCAGCTGGAGGTCAGCTGTGACCAGCAGTGCTGCAGAATTCGAGGAGGCACGAGTGGAGGGTGAAAGAGAGAAACGTGCCAGGAGGAAGGCACATCAAGCCAACCCCGACCGGGACCGCTTTCCACCTGGAAACCAATGCCCACATGGTGGAAGAAGATGCGGGTCAAGAATAGGGCTTCACAGCCACCTACGAACCCGCAAGGAAACGCATAATGGAAGACCATCTTACTCGTCCAACGAGGGATCGCCTAAGTAAGTAAGTTAAGTGTCTGTACTAAAAAACTATGGATGCCCCAAAACCTTACAATATATCCTTAAACGAATTAATCTAACTTCATGGTCCAACTGCTTATGTGCAATCAAGTCATCTATCAACTGATGGTGAGACAATAAATTTAAATTACTCAGAGGTGTTTTTCTCAATTCATTCCTTTAAAATACAACTTGGTAGTTGCTGTTGATCTCCTATTCAAGTATTAAAAGCACATCTCTTGGATTTTTATCCAAAACACATTCCAAGTATTCTGTACTTACTGAACGGCTGATCTGTTCTAGTTTGCCTGCTATTTATTTTAAAAGAAATGAATCAATTTTAAAATAACTTTTTAAAAGCCCAGTAACCAGAGTTCTTTGGATGACATACAAATTTTAAAAGCAGCAATAAAAAAAGCCAAATGAATAGTGAGAATAAAAACAAAATAGAAACCAGAAGCAAGGCTAAAACACACACAAATATCTAAAAAAAATTAAACAGCTGCAAAAACATCTGGTACAGTAAGGCATTTATGTAGTACTAGCCGTCCCCTGCCACACATTGCTGTGGCCCAGTCTGGGTAAATGTATTTTGTGCATTTATGTATGCGTATATATGTGGTTTTGTGCATGCGTTGTAATGTATTTTTTGGCTTTTTAAGTCTCTTCCGCTGTGTTTTCCAGTGTTTTTATGAGTGATGTTCACTCGTTGGCCTGATAGAGGAGCCTGAAAACGTGGTTGTTCCAGTGTGCCTTCCCAGAATAAGGAACCCTAAGCAACATGTCCCTAATCGCACTTTACTAATGATCTAGGATTGTCTGCTCGCTCCATTTCTCTCCAAATACCCATCCTAGTTATATGTCACCTTGTCATGCTCAGTATTTTAAAATTTTAATCATTACATTTGGCCCTGCCATAGGTGTTTAATGCGTCGTGATGTTACTGTTATTATTGCTTTGTTTATGAGTTTATTTATTGTCTGTATTGCTGTGTTGTTTATTGATGTATTTGGGCTCGGCCTCTTGTAAGCTGCACCGAGTCCTCCAGGAGATGGTAGCAGGGTATAAAGGTTTATTATTATTATTATAGGTGTATTGTGTCCAAATTTGGTGTCAATTTGTCCAGTGGTTTTTGAGTTCTGTTAATCCCACAAACAAACATTACATTTTTATTTATATAGACTAGCCGTCCCCTGCCACACGTTGCTGTGGCCCAGTCTGTGTATGTGTTTTGTGTGTATATGTATGTGTATATATGTGGTTTTGTGCATGCATTGTAATGTATTTTTTATTTTTTTCTTGGCTTCTAAAGTCTCTTTTGCTGTTTTTCAGTGTTTAATGAGTGACTAGCCATCCCCTGCCACACGTTGCTGTGGCCCAGTCTGTGTATGTGTTTTGTGTGTATATGTATGTGTATATATGTGGTTTTGTGCATGCATTGTAATGTATTTTTTATTTTTTCTTGGCTTCTAGTCTCTTCTGCTGTGTTTTTCAGTGTTTTATGAGTGACTAGCTGTCCCCTGCCACACATTGCTGTGGCCCAGTCTATGTATATGTGTTTTGTGTGTGTATATGTGTATATATATTTGTGTATATGTGCATATATGCGTGTTTGCATTGTATTTTTTATTTTATTTTTTGGCTTTTTAAGTCTCTTCTGCTGTGTTTTCCCCTGTTTTTATGAGTGATGGTCACTCGTTGGCCTGATAGGTGTATTGTGTCCAAATTTGGTGTCAATTTGCCCAGTGGTTTTTGAGTTATGTTAATCCCACCAACGAACATTACATTTTATTTATATAGTCACTCATTTATTTATTTATTTATTTATTTATTTGCTGCATTTGTTGACCGCCGCTCTCAGCCCTAGGGCGGTGTACAACATATAAAAGACCATTTACAATAAGGCAAAAATGAAAAATCAACAACACTAATACACAGTAATATAATTACACTAAATAATCCGCTCCGTCTCGTCATAGAATCATAACCAAACTCGTAATCCATATTCCGTTCCCGTTGTCATTACCAGTTAATAGCACTCAATTAAATGCCTTCTCAAATAGCCATGTCTTTAGGCTCTTACGGAAAGACATAAGGGAGGGCGCCTGTCTGATGTCAACAGGGAGGGTGTTCCACAGCCGGGGGGCCACCACCGAGAAGGCCCTCTCTCTCGTCCCCGCCAGACGTGCCTGTGAGGCAGGCGGGATCGAGAGAAGGGCCTCCCCAGACGATCTCAAGGCCCTCGTGGGCTCATAGGCCGAGATGCGGTACGAAAGGTATTTTGGGCCGGAACCGTTTAGGGCTTTGTAGGATAACACCAGCACCTTAAATTGGGCCCGGTAGCAGATCAGCAGCCAGTGGAGCTGGAACAACAAGGGCGTTGTGTGCTCCCTGCGTCCCGCTCCTGTTAGTAACATGGCTGCCGCGCGCTGGACTAGCTGAAGCTTCCGGGCCGTCTTCAAGGGCAGCCCCACGTAGAGAGCGTTGCAGTAGTCAAGGCGGGATGTGACCAGAGCGTGTACCACCGTGGCCAAGTCAGACTTCCCGAGATACGGGCGCAGCTGGCGCACGAGCCTAAGCTGTGCAAATGCTCCCCTGGTCACCGCTGAGACCTGGGGCTCCAGGCTCAGCGATGAGTCCAGGGTCACACCCAAGCTGCGAACCTGCGCCTTCAAGGGGAGTGCGACCCCATCCAGCACAGGCTGTAACCCTATACCCTGTTCGGCCTTGCGACTGACCAGGAGTACCTCTGTCTTGTCTGGATTTAATTTCAGTTTGTTCGCCCTCATCCAGACCATTACAGCAGCCAGGCACCGGTTCAGGACCTCGACAGCCTCCTTAGTAGCAGGTGGGAAGGAGTGACAGAGTTGGACATCATCTGCGTACAGATGACACCGCACCCCGAAACTCCGGATGATCTCACCCAGCGGCTTCATGTAGATATTAAACAGCATGGGGGACAGTGTAGAGCCCTGTGGAACCCCACAAGTCAAAGGCTGTGGTGTTGAACAGGAGTCCCCCAATAACACTTCTGGGTACGGCCCTCCAGAAATGACTGGAGCCACTGCAGAGCAGTGCCCCCATTGGCCTGATACGTGTATTGTGTCCAAATGTGGTGTCAAATTGCCCAGTGGTTTTTCAGTTATTTATATAGATATTTATTTATTTACTTTATTTCTATACTGCTTTTCTCAGCCCTCAGGCGGCTCAAAGAAGATATGTGTGTATGTGTATGTATGTGTGGTTTTGCACATGCGTTGTAATGTATTATTTTGGCTTTTTAAGTCTCTGTCTTGCTTCATTTAGTGGGAACATTTTGAGCTGGCTCTCCCATCTTCTAAGAAGATAAAGGAAGTTTAGCAGCCTTAAGACTTTCAAGCTGAAAACCAGCGCTTTCAAGAGTGGCAGCAGCTAATGGTGATAAAAGCACTGGCATAATGTGAAAATGAGCAGTCTCCGTTTGCTCAAATCTGACCACAGGCATACCTCTGTTAACAAAATACATGCAAGTCTCAATTTGCATTGCTCCAAATTATGACATTTTAAATGTATATTTCCCTAAATGTATTGGACTAGAAGGGAGCCCCCCGGTGGTGCAGCGGGTTAAACTGCTGAACTGGTTAACTTGCTGACCAAAAGGTCAGCAGTTCAAATGCAGGGAGAGAATGAGCTCCTGTTGTTAGCCCCAGCTTCTGCCAGCCTAGCAATTCAAAAACATGCAAATGTGAGATCAATAGGTACCGCTCTGGCGGGAAGGTAACCGTTCCATGCAGTCATGCTGGCCACATGACCTTGGAGGTGTCTATGGACAACGCTGGCTCTTCGGCTTGGAAATGGAGATGAGCACCACACCCCAGAGTCAGACATGACTGGACTTAATGTCAAGGGGAAAACTTTACTTATCAGACTAGATGGGCCAATTCCATGTTATTGTTTTGAGAGAAAGGAGGCATACAAACTAATTATTTAAATAACCAGCACCAATGTCATATAATGATTTCAACCATTGGCTATGCATATATTACCTTTTAATCCTTGCAACAATTCATTCAAATTAACTGCCTGATGTGTGAAGTAAATACTATAGACTGAAGGGAGAAAACGCGGGCTTCAAATCAGCAATATTTTTCTCCACAGCTCACAGTCTGAGTCACTTTCTTCCAAAAGAAAATCAATCCTTATCTAGTTTGATCCCATCCTCTAAGCATAGATCAAGTTATTTGTAAACAGATGTTGATAGGGTTAAATTTCAGATACTCCAGATCCGAACCCATAGCATTTTCACATGAGTAACTGTTGTTTCAGGAACGATTGCATGCCACGTGGCCTGCTCAATCCTTCAAACAAGTTCCTTTCTTCCAATCTAGAACATAGGTCTTGGGATTGCCAACTTCTCTCCTCAGGGCTGCTTTCCATTGTTGGAGGTACACAACCCTTTGGGAAGGTTGTATGTTTCTGGGAGAAGCAGATCCCCCAATTTTAGCTTGTGCTGTAATTTGTAGAACCCATACAAAGTACTAGAAAGTTAAAATGCAGTGCTCCACCAAAGCAAGAGGCAATTACAACTTGATCATTTATCTTCTGATTCAGGAAACTCCAGTTTCAGACGCTTTATGGAGCGACTGAAGAAGAGGGGTGGCTTGCAGACCAAGTGAATTTTCTTCTCCCCGCTGCCATTTATCTCAGGCAGGATGAGCATGCGGGCATGGAGGTGGAGAGGAAGGTAGCGGGCTTTGACTTGTTCCAAGCCCAGTCTCTTTAAGGCACTCTGGGGAAGCTTCTGCAAAAGAGAAATCACACTTAGTTGCAACGGAAGTACAAAACCCAAATGTAACAGAGCCTATTAAGAGAAAAAGGCTGTTGGATAAGCAACAAATTATTTAAACCTCATAAACATCATGGAATCATGTTAGCAGACAACTGATTGCTATGTAACTCTTACTTTAATGCACAGAATGGCATTGGAAATCTATATAAATAAAATGTAATGTTCGTTTTTGGGATTAACATAACTCAAAAACCACTGGATGAATTGACACCAAATTTGGACACAATACACCTATCAGGCCAATGAGTGACCATCACTCATAAAAACACTGAAAAACATAGCAGAAGGAACTTAAAAAGCAAAAAAAAAAAAAACAAAACCCAAAAATTACAACGCATGTGCAATATATATATACACACATATATGCAACCATATATACATATATATACATATATATATATATATATATATACACACACACACACACATACTTATATGCATATACACACACAAAACACATACACAGAAAGGGGGAAGGAAGGAAGGAAGGAAGGAAGGAAGGAAGGAAGGAAGGAAGGAGGAGGAGGAGGAAGGAAGGAAGGAAGGAAGGAAGGAAGGAAGGAAGGAAGGAAGGGTAGAGAAGGAAGGGTAGAGAAGGAAGGAAGGAGAGAAAGAAGGAAAGAAAGAAAGAGAAGGAAGGAGAGAAGGATGGAGAGAAAGAGGGAAAGAAGGAGGAAAGGAGAGAAGCAAAGAAAGAAAGGTAGGAAAGGAAGGAAGGAATGAAGGAGAGAAGGAAATAAAAAAGTGAAAGAGGGAAGGAAGGAGAGAAGCAAAGAAAGAGAGAAAGAGGGAAGGAAGGAAGGAAGGAGACAAGGAAGGGTAGAACCAAAGAGCAAAGGAAGCAAGAAAAGAAACAGAGAAGGAAGAAAGAAGAAGAGAAAGAAAAAGAGGGAAGAAAGGAAAGAGGGAGGGAAGGGAGGAGTGGAAAAAAAGAAGGAGGAGAAAGAGGGAGGGAAGGTTTGCCATAGCAACGCATGACGGGTACAGCTAGTCACTCATAAAAACACTGAAAAACACAGCCAAAAAATAAAAAATACATTACAATGCATGCACAAAACCACATATATACACATATACACAAAAATATATACACACACAACACACATATACACAGACTGGGCCACAGCAATGCGTGGCAGGGGACAGCTAGTTGAGAAATAAAAACCAACAATCTGCATATTAAACTACAGCATCTCATTCAACAGTTACTCTCACTATGAGCTCACCTGTGGTGCCAGCTTGTTCCAGTGGGAATATTTATGATCCCCAAGGATTGGACAGCCCAAGCCATAGGCCATGTGGACTCTGAGTTGGTGTTTCACTCCTACATAGAAGAAATAATCATACTGTAAACAGAACAGCCAAAGGTCAAGTGGAGTTGCCTCTCAGGCCACCCTGGAGAATTTCTTCAGAAATGTATTGATGCTGACATCTCAGCAAAGTGGCAAATTATAAGAAAGCTACTACCTGCAGAGATCAAGAGTTCTGTGGCTTTATTTATTTATTTATGAATGACATCTTTATGCTGTCCTTCTCACCCCAAAGGGGACTCAGAGCGGCTTGCAAGATATATATACATACAATATATTATGTTATTAACATAGTACAATAACAGTATTAAATATTACTATGCTGTACTATACCATTATATTGCAATATTATTAGTAATATTACATGTAATATAAAATATATAATTATAATATATTATTAGTAGTACTTTATTGTATTACTTTATAATATTGTAAATATTTTATGCATAGACATTACATTATTAGTAAAGCACAGGAGACAAGATGGAACTGTCTCCTGCCCCCCCCCCCTTTCACTCTGGACCAGTGAAGCAGTTGGTGTTGGGGGAAGGGGGGGGGCTCCCAACCGATGACAAAGGGAGGAGACAAGATGGAATTGTCTTTGATCTGATGGACAGTCTCATGGAACAGGAGTTTGGAGGCTTTCATAAGACCTCTGATGGATTTACCAAATGCCCGATAACAGTCTCCCAAAGCAATTACTCTACTCCGAACTCAAGAATAGGAAATGGCATATTGGTGGATAGAAAAAGAGATTTAAAGATGAGCTTAAAGCCAACCTTAAAAACTGTGGCATAGACACCAAGAACTGGAAAGCCCTGGCCCTTGAGCACTCTAACTGGAGGTCAGCTGTGACCAGCGGTGCTACGGAATTCAAAGAGGCGCAAGTGGGGGGTGAAAGGGGAAAACGTGCCAAGAGGAATGTGCGTCAAGCCAACCCTGGCCAGGACGGGACTGCCTTCTTTCTAGAAACCAATGCCCTCACTGCAGGAGAACATGCAGGTCAAGAACACCTCATCTGGAAGAGCATCATCCTCGAGCTATGAGGGATCACATAAGGAAAGACATTGAACTGCAGCTTTTGCTGAGTCATTGCATCCATTTAAAAATTTCAATGCTAGATTCACATTTTTGTAATTAAAAATACCTAGTTAATTTTTAATATTTCTGACATGGATTACTTCTGAACTTGTGTTCATTAAAGGTTTATTTATGATGGCATTAGGTGGGTGGATTCCTGCACTGACAAAGGATTTAATTAGAAGACTCCTGAGTTCCAAACAACTTGGCGATCCTATGATACTAGGTTGGTCAAATTCCATTAGTACTACAAAGTCTGGCAGCAAAAGTGAGATACCAATAGCACTAAACGTGACCCTGCTGGAAATAATACTGAGAAAAACTGACCCCTCAGAAAGGGAAGACCTTACCTGTAATGGGGTGCAGCTCCAAGAAGCTACAGGAAGGACAGCTGCTGAGCACACGGTACCGGGTCACTGCCAAATGCGAATCTCTGTGCTGGCGCACTTTAAAGGTCTTCCCATCCTCATGGGACATGTAATAATTTGGAGCAAGTGTCATCTGAGCAAAACAGAGATAGTTCAATATATCGCTGTGCAGGTGGGCATAATTCAAGAATGGATAGGTAAATAGAAAAGTGAGGATAGCAGCCACATTCCTCAATTAGCAGAGCAGCCTGGATATGTTTCTGTTTTCAATGTGACAACATTTCATGATCTAGGCAAAGTGTTTTAACAGAACAGCCCAACAATGCTGACTTCAAGTACAAAAGCCAATAATCATTTCCATCTTGTCTCTGCCTATATCATCAGTTGGGAGGCCCCTCCCCCCTCTGGCACCAACTGCCAGAGGTGGGAGTGAAGACAGAGGGGAGCAGAAGACATTTCCATCTTGTCTTTACTTATAATATAGTATATTGTATATACACAAAATTTATTTATTTATTTATTTATTTTGCTTCTACACCGCTGTTCTCAGCCCGGGACCGACTCACAGCGGTGTACAACATAGGAAAAAACAAATACAAGACACAGTATAAAAACAATTCACAATCCATCAATATACCAAAACATCGTCATTACTACGATATAATATTTATAATATTATAATGTAATACAATATTATAATTATAATTATATATTTACATTACATATAATATTACTAATAATATTACAATATAATGGTATAGTGCAATATAGTAATATATAAGACTGATATTGTACTATGCTAATAATATATATTATATGAAAAATTATCCTGTAAGCCGCTCTGAGTCCCATAAATAAATAAATAAAAATAAATAAACAGTTATAAGACTGTGCAACAGAGTTATCTGCTCCTCTTGCAACATTGATGGTGGCACAGTCCAGAGTGAGCAAAGGACAATATAGCACGCATGGTGCAGTTTTAACTGGAAAGCCCTCAAGGGCGAAATATTTTTTCAAAGCTCAGTTGTTCGGTCTGTAAAGCCGTTAGATATTTGAAGTTTCAAGCTTAAGCTTTGATGCAAATGGGAAGTGTCAGAACAGACCCCTCAGGTTTGTATGTCTGGAAGAGGTAAGATTTAATTGATAGGAAGCAAACTCACTTTAAAATGTGACTGATGGCTCTCCACTTCCTTTTCCACAATGGGAATATCCACCAGTCCTTCTGACGGCTTTGGGTGTCCAACACACACTGCCCTATCAGAGTAACCACAATGAAAAGCACAATATTTTAGGTTTCTGCTATGATCAGCAGTAATCTCTGTGAAATTGATAGAAGGTGCACTCTTCAGTGCACAGCTATAATTCCATAATCTTGTCTCCTGCATATGACATCGGTTGGAGACCTCTCCCCTCAGCAACAACTGCCGCTCTGAGCCAGTTCCACCTTGTCTCCTGTGCTATGCTAATATATACTACAATATATAGTATATGCATATAATATTTATAATATTATAATGTAATAATAATAATAATAATCTTTATTTATACCCAGCCACCATCTCCCTGATGGGGACTCGGAGCGGCTTACATGGGGCCAAGCCTGGACAACATATTACAGCAAAAATAAAACCAAAACAACAAACAACAGCATCAAATTACATTAATAAAAAAGAAAAGGAATGCAGTAACAAAATAACATACAATAACACAATTGCAATGACAATGGGCAGGCCACATGTACAAAATAAAATGTTAAAAACACGAATGAGATAAGATTAGGAGCAAGTTATTTGCAGGGAGCACATAAAGAAACACAGGGTTGTGAAACTAAATTTCCCATTAGGGGGGCATGTACTCCAGTGACAGAAGTGTTGAGGGGAACAGTATAATACTACTACTACTAATATATTATAATTATATATTTTATATTACATGTAATATTACTAATAATATTACAATATAATTGTATAGTACAATATAGTGATGTATAGTGCTGATATTGTACTGTGCTAATGGTATAATGTATTGTATGTATGTACCGTATATACTCAAGTATAAGCCGACCCAAATATAAGCTGAAGCACCTGATTTTACCACAAAAAACTGGGAAAATGTATTGACTCAAGTATAAGGTGAGGGTGGGAAATGCAGCAGCTATGCGTCTGTTTCAAAATAAAAATAGATACCAATAAAATTACATTAATTGAAGCATCAGTAGGTTGAATGTTTATTAATATTTACATAAAACTGTAAGATAAGACTGTTCAACTCTGACTAAACCATTATTCTAACCTTCTTCAATGTACATGTGTTTGCGTATCCTTCCAATAATAGTAGGGTAAATTAATAAATGTAATAATAAAAATAATAAACTTAACCTATAAATGTAATAATAATAATAATAATAATAATAGAGTAAAATAATAAATAATCTTGACTCGAGTATAAGCCGAGGGGAGCTTTTTCAGCCTAAAAAAAGGGCTGAAAAACTAGGCTTATACTCGAGTATCTATCTATCTATCTATCTGTCTACCTATCTATCTACCTATCTACCTATCTAGTAAGCTGCTCTAAGTGAGAAGGGCAGCATATAAATGTCGCAAATAAATACATAAATAGGGATTATTGATTTATATCAAGGATTCCGATAATAGGTGGGATTGCAATTCCCTTCATTTCTCAACACTGGCTATCCAGTTGGACCGTTATTATTAAAGTTAAACAGTGTCTAGAGGATTACAGGCTTTCTATTCTAGTGCACAGGAAATCAGTGCTTCTTATGATGTGACAACAAAATAAAATGGTTGAATGGAAGTAAGATCTCACACACCAATATTTTTTCTCCACCTGCCGCGTCCTGAATAACTCCTGGACCTTGTGTGCTATATCCTGATCCCGCGCCAGAACCATCACCCCAGTTGTTTCTTTGTCTAGCCGGTGACACAAGTGGAGGGGTTCAGCCTTCATGCCATACAACATCTTTGCCAGTGTTGGGAGAATATCTGAAATACAAGTCTTCACTTTGGGACCACCTAGTGGAAAAACAGAAACAATTCTAAATAGGCCAGAAATTACCGGGGTTTTGTGGCCACACCAGCGGTACCCAGGAGAAATTGGAGACTTGCATCCTACTTCACCATGCCACAAAAACAATATGCTGTAGAAAAGAAAGGAGCATTTCTACATTTTTACAAGGTCACTTCCTTTTTTTAAGAAAGCCTGCAAGGTCACTTCCTTTTTAAAGAAAGTCTTCTGAGTCTAAAACAGCCCAGAGAGACTCAAACTATAGCAACATTACCCTGGACAGACCCTAGAGCAGGGGTAGGGAACCTTTGGCCCTCCAGCTGTGGTGGACTTCAACTCCCACAATTCCTTGAGGCTCGGCATTCGCCCCAAAGGCTTACCTTGGCCCAATGCCGAGCCTCAAGGAATTGTGGGAGTTGAAGTCCACCACAGCTGGAGGGCCAAAGGTTCCCTACCCCTGCCCTAGAGAGAAAACAGTAAGACGAAACAAGGAGATGATCACATGACTAAATGAAGAGCAGCTTAAACAGCTAGGCAGATATAACCTGAAGAAGAGAAGGCTGAATGGAGACATGATGAGGGCCATGTTTAAATATGTGAAGGGAAGTCATAGGGAGGAGGGAATAAGCTTGTTTTCTGCTGCCCTGGAGACTAGGACACAGAACAATGGTTTCAAACTACAGGAAAGGAGATTCCACCTGAACATCAGGAAGAATTTCCAAACTCTGAGAGCTGTTCAGCAGTGGAACTCTCTGCCCTGGAGTGTGGTGGAGGTTTCTTCTTTAGAGGCTTGTAAACAGAGGCTGGATGGCCATCTGTCGGGAGTGCTTTGAATATGATTTTGGCAAACAGTTGGATTGGATGGCCCACGAGGTCTCTTCCAAATCTAAAATCCTATGAATTCATTCCCCTCACCGTGAACAGGGAGACCGTAGGGTTTGTTAATCACGACAATCTCATTGTTCTGGAAGAGGACTCCTTTCTTGAGGGCTTTGGCCAGGACATTAGGGTGGATGCGAAGCAGCTGCCGGGTGAGCTCTCTAAGCTCCTGCACACGCCTTCGGACGGGGTCTTTCGGAACCTGTGGAAAAGGAAGGAGGAAATCTATCAGTTGATTCCTTTACTGTACGGCTTTTGTAGGTCAAGCGGCTGAGGGGGGAAAAGAAAGGGCCCGAGGCTGATAGGAATTGTGGGAATTGAAGTCCAAATCACCTGGAGGGAGGGCCCAAGTTTGCCCAGGCCTGGTCCACATTGTAGAATGAATGCCCCTTATTTTTTTTACAACATTTATATGCCGCCCTTCTCACCCCGAAGGGTATTCAGAGCAGCTTACGAGTTATATGTACATACAATATATTATATTAGCATAGCACAATATTAGTATTATATATTACAATATTGTACTATATTGCAATATTATTGGTAATATTATGTAATATAAAATATATAACTATTATGATTATATTGTATTATTTTTAGTACTATATTGTATTACAATATTATGCTCAATATTATATGTACGAGAGTTGAATGAAAAGTAATGCCTTCTCAAAACACATTATTATATGTTGTGTTTTGAGGCCTTGGCCTTTGTAAGCCGCACAGAGTCTTTCGAGAGAAGATAGCTGGGTACAAATAAAGTTAATAATAATGCCTCCACCGTCGTAACTCTTCAACAGATGGCAGTATTGATATGCGGCGGGTACTGGCTTGTTCAGTAGACTCTCCTCTACAGTTCCATTTTGGAGGGAAGCCTTAGCATTGAATGGTTGTGTTGTTAAAGTGCAAAGTATGGAACCCTGCGAAGACGGTCAGTCAATGTGACTTAAGCAACGTGCAGTCATTGACTACTTGACAGCAGAAGGTGTCACCCCAAAGGAGATTAATCAGAGAATGCAAGCTTTTTATGGTGCTTGTATTGATGTGAATACCGTGCATCGTTGGGCGAGTAAGTTTAAATACGTTGAGGTGGGGACCTCTGACTTGTGTGACAAAGAGTTGAACGTCTTGTGAGAGCAACCACCGAATTTCACAAGCAAAAGGTTGACAGACTGATTCAGGACGATCGTCAATTATAGTTGAAAGAAATTTCAACCATAATCGGCATTGCACATTTCTGTTTTGTTTGGCTATTGGAAGATCTATGCACAATGGGTTGTGGAAACAGAGTGTCGGCTTCAGAAAACCTGTTCATTGTTGGCAGAAATGTATCCAATGTCTGGTGGTTATGTGGAAAAGTGAATAGTGGTAGTTAAAGAGCACATTCTAAAGATTATTTCTGCGCTTGATTTATTAAAATATTCCCATCCAAACCCAAGTAATGAAGATGGAGGCATTACTTTTCATTCAACCCTCATACATACAATACATTAAAAATATTAGCATAGCACAATATTAGTATTATATATTACTATATTGTACTATACCATTGTACTGCAATATTATTAGTATTTTATTTATCGAGTCATCAGCAACCAGTCAATTATATTATATATGTTATATAATACTATTATTTATTTATTTATTTATTTACTTTGCTTATATACCGCTGTATCTCAAGCCCGAAGGCGACTCACAGCGGTTCACAAACAGTAAAAACAGTAGAAACAGCAGTGGTTCCATACAACATATAACAATTGACTTAACACATTATCCATAAATTACCAATAAGCAATTACAATGCACAATTATTACAAAAAACAACCGTACCCAATCTTCTCATCATCCAAGCGTAGTCCAGATTCGTCGTCCATTGTTCCATTCCTATGTTCCATTACCAGATTGTACTAAATTACTCAAACGCCTGCACAAACATCCAGGTCTTCACCTTTTTGCGGAATACCATTAGAGATGGTGCTAGTCTAATGTCCGTAGGAAGGGCGTTCCACAGCCGAGGAGCCACCACCGAGAAGGCCCTATCTCTCGTCCCCGCCAGCCGAGCTTGAGAAGCAGGCGGGATCGAGAGCAGGGTCTCCCCGGAAGATCTCAAAGTCCTGGTGGGTTCATAGGCAGAGATGCGGTCAGATAGGTAGCTTGGGCCGGAACCGTTTAGGGCTTTAAAGGCCAACGCCAGCACTTTGAATTCAGCCCGGTAGCAGATCGGTAGCCAGTGGAGTTGGCGCAACAGGGGGGTTGTATGCTCCCTGCGCTCCGCTCCTGTTAAAATCATGGCTGCCGAGCGTTGGACTAGTTGGAGCTTCCGAGCTGTCTTCAAAGGCAACCCCACGTAGAGAGCGTTGCAGTAGTCTAAACGGGATGTAACCAGAACGTGGACTACCGTGGCCAAGTCAGACTTCCCAAGGTCCGGGCGCAGCTGGCGCACAAGCTTTAATTGTGCAAATGCTCCCCTAGCCACCTCCAAGACCTGGGGTTCCAGGCTCAGGGATGAGTCTAGGATCACTCCCAATCTGCAAACATGTGTCTTCAAGGAGAGTGTGACCCCCAGGCTGTAACCCTATGCACTGTTCGGCCTTGCACTGACCAGGAGTACCTCTGTCTTGTCTGGATTCAATTTCAATTTGTTCGCTCTCATCCAGACCGTCACAGCGGCCAAGCACCGGTTCAGGACCTGGACAGCCTCCTTAGTAGCAGGTGGAAAGGAGTGACAGAGTTGGACATCATCCGCGTACAGATGACACCGTACCCCGAAACTCCGGATGATCTCCCCCAGCGGCTTCATGTAGATGTTAAACAACATGGGAGACAATATTGAGCCCTGAGGAACCCCACAAGACAATGGTTGTGGGGTTGAACAGGTGATCCCCCAACAACACCTTCTGAGATCGACCCTCCAGGAATGACCGGAGCCACTGCAAAACAGTACCTCCAAGACCCATCCCCGCGAGGCATCCCAGAAGGATACCGTGGTCGACGGTATCGAAGGCCGCTGAGAGGTCCAGCAGCACCAACAGGGACACACTCCCCCTGTCGAGCTCCCGGCGCAGATCATCCACTAAGGCGACCAAGGCTGTCTCGGTACCATGTCCCGGCCTAAAGCCAGACTGTGCCGGGTCTAGATAATCTGTGTCTACCAAGAATACCTGGAGTTGTGAGGCCACCACACGTTCCAAGACTTTGCCCAAGAAGGGGAGATTGGAAACTGGCCGATAGTTGTCGAATTTAGTGGGGTCCAGTGATGGTTTCTTCAACAGCGGTTTTATTATAGCTTGTTTTAAGCTCGCTGGAATCTTGCCTTCCCGAAGGGAAGCATTAACCACCACCTTAACCCACTCAGCCAATCCCCCTCTGGCCTCCTTTAGAAGCCAGGATGGGCAGGGGTCCAGGATGCATGTGGTTGGCCTCATTCCTCCAAGCATCTTGTCCACATCCTCGGGTTTCACCAATTGAAATGAATCCATCAAAACTGGACAAGCAGGTGCTCGTGTTACATCCTCAGAGACTGCCATTAACATGGTATCCAGACCAGAACGGATCAAAGCGACTTTGTCTGTAAAGAACTGAGCAAAAGCTTCACAGCGATATACATATATTTTTATTTATATAGATAACTAGCCGTCCCCTGCCATGCATTGCTGTGGCCCAGTCTGGTGATCTGGAAAATAAAGTAATGAGAAAGTGTTGATTTCTAATATATGTAATGTCTTTATGCTTGTGGGTTAAAAGTATTTCTTGTTGTTTCTTTTTTAGAGATTGTCTGGTTTGCCTACTCTGAAACATGCAACATAAAATTGTCCTTCTTCAGGGATCCCTTTCAAATCAATGATTCAAATCTGTGTCTCTTCCAACTCTATGATTCTGTGTGTGTGTGTGTGAATCATATATATCTATATCTATGGCTGGATGGCTCTTTGTCAGGAGGGCTTTGATTACGTTTTCTTGCCCTGCTGAAGGGAGTTAGACTGGATGGTCTTAAGTATTTTCTGTTGGTCATGGGGGTTTTGTGTGGGAAGTTTGTCCCAATCCTGTCCTTGGTGGGATTCAGAATGCTCTTTGACTGTAGGTGAACTATAAATCCCAGTAACTACAACTCCCAAATGTTAAGGTCTATTTCCCCCAAATCCCATCTGTGTTCATATCTAGGCACATGGAATATTTGTGCCAAGTTTGGTCCAGATCCATCATTGGTTGAGTCCACAGTGCTCTCTGGATGCAGGTGAACTACATCTCCCAAACTTAAGGTCAATGCCCACCAAACCCTTCTAGTGTTTTGTGTTGGTCATGGGAGTCCTGTGTGCTACGTTTGGTTCAATTCCATAGTTGATGAAGTTCAGTATGCTCTTTGATTGTAGGTGTACTATAAATCCCAGCAACTACAATTCCCCAATGACGAAATCATTTTTTTAAAGTGATCGTCACTCCTTGGGTTAGTAGTTGTCTTGTGGCCAAATTTGGTGGCAATTTGTTCTGTGGTTTTTGAGTTATGTTGATCCCACAAACGACCATTACATTTTTATTTATATAGAGTTTATTTATTTATTTATTTACATCGCTTCTACCCCGCCCTTCTCACCCCTGAGGGGGGACTCAGGGCGGCTTACATGGGCAACAATTCAACGACATTGTGTCAATACAACAACATAAAATCAAATACATAAAAATTAACAATAACATTAAAATACTCATATACTAACATAGTCGCCTAATCAAAATCACATATCTGTTTCCTACTGTCATAATCCTATGGTCCAGTTCAGTGTCTAAGTGCTGCTAAGTCCACTAGCCGAGAGCCTGACTTCAAAACCACGACTTTAGTTTTTTCCTAAGTGAGGAGGGAGGACGCCGATCTAATCTCATTGGGGAGCAAATTCCACAAGCGAGGGGCCACCACTGAGAAGACCCTGTCCCTCGTCCCCACCAGACGCGTTTGTGACGCTGGTGGGACTGAAAGCAGGGCCTCCCCAGTAGATCTTAAATTACGAGGTGGAACGTAGAGAAAGATAAGTTCGGATAAGTAAGCTGGGCCGGAGCCGTATAGGGTTTTATAGGCCAAGACCAGCACTTTGAATTGTACTCGGAGGTGGACCGGCAGCCAGTGGTATGCTCACTGTATGGTGCTCCGGCAAGTAATCTGGCTGCAGCCCGTTGGACTATTTGAAGTCTCCGAACAGTCTTCAAAGGCAATCCCACGTAGAGTGCGTTGCAGTAATCTATTCGGGATGTAACCAAAGTGTGGACCACCGTGGTCAAGTCAGACTTCCCAAGGTACGGGCGCAGCTGGCGCACAAATTTTAACTGTGCAAAAGCTCCCTTGGCCACCGCTGAGACCTGAGGTTCCAGGCTCAGTGATGAAGCCAGGATCACTCCCAAGCTGCGAACCTGCGTCTTCAGAGGTTATATGTTTATACATGTAATATATAATATACAATTATTATATTTTATTATTATTAGTATTATTAGTATTATATTATATTATTATTGGTATTATATTATAAAACAAGTCATGCCAGACTAATGTGATCTCTTTTTTCGATAGAGTTACAAGCTGGATAGATGCAGGGAATGCCGTGGATGTGGCGTACCTGGGTTTCAGTAAGGCCTTTGACAAGGTCCCCCATGACCTTCTGGCAAGGAAACTAGTCCAATGTGGGCTAGGCAAAACTACGGTGAGGTGGATCTGTAATTGGCTAAATGGACCAACCCAGAGGGTGCTCACTAATGCTTCCTCTTCATCTTGGAAAGAAGTGACGAGTGGAGTGCCGCAGGGTTCCGTCCTGGGCCCGGTCCTGTTCAACATCTTTATTAATGACTTAGACGAAGGGTTAGAAGGCAGGATCATCAAGTTTGCAGATGACACCAAATTGGGAGGGATAGCCAATACTTCAGAGAACAGGAGCAGGATTCAAAACGATCTTGACAGATTAGAGAGATGGGCCAAAACTAACAAAATGAAGTTCAACAGGGACAAATGCAAGATACTCCACTTTGGCAGGAAAAACAAAATGCAAAGATACAAAATGAGGGACGCTTGGCTCGAGAGCAGTATGTATGAAAAAGATCTTGGAGTCCTCGTGGACAATAAGTTAAACATGAACCAACAATGTGATGTGGCAGCAAAAAAAGCCAATGGGATTTTGGCCTGCATCAAGAGGAGCAGAGTGTCTAGATCTAGGGAAGTCATGCTACCCCTCTATTCTGCCTTGGTTAGACCACACCTGGAATATTGTGTTCAATTCTGGGCACCACAATTGAAGAGAGATATTGACAAGCTGGAATGTGTTCAGAGGAGGGCGACTAAAATGATCAAGGGTCTGGAGAACAAGCCCTATGAGGAGCGGCTTAAGGAGCTGGGCATGTTTAGCCTGAAGAAGAGAAGGATGAGAGGCGATATGATAGCCATGTATAAATATGTGAGAGGAAGCCACAGGGAGGAGGGAGCAAGCTTGTTTTCTGCTTCCTGGAGACTAGGACGCGGAACAATGGCTTCAAACTACAAGAGAGGAGATTCCATCTGAACATGAGGAAGAACTTCCTGACTGTGAGAGCCGTTCAGCAGTGGAACTCTCTGCCCCGGAGTGTGGTAGAGGCTCCTTCTTTGGAAGCTTTTAAACAGAGGCTGGATGGCCATCTGTCAGGGGTGATTTGAATGCAATATTCCTGCTTCTTGGCAGGGGGTTGGACTGGATGGCCCACGAGGTCTCTTCCAACTCTTTGATTCTATGATTACAATATAATATTATATTATGTGTGTTTATACAATATATTATATTATTTTATATTATTAACACAGCACATTATTATTATTATTATTATTATTATTAACTTGACACCATCTTCACTACTAATTTCACTCAATGCCTTGGAATGTCAAGGCTTTAGGCCTTCCCAAAGTGCAACTCTCAGGGTCCCAGAGCATCCAGCCTGTCCCTTCACTCGCCCCATGCGCCGGACTCACCTCCTTCACAGGCTTTTCCTTCTCCCGCTTCTGAGCTCGAAGCTTTTCCGCCAACTGCTCGGCGCTGAGAGGGCTGGCGGCGCCCTGAGTGCGAGAAAAAGCCCGCCGCCAAGCAAAGCCGAGCACAACACGACATGCCGCCTTGTGAGCCGCCATTTTTTTCCAGCTAGGACAAGAAACCGGAAGAGGCGTGGCCTCGAGTGTTTCCGTCTCCTCTCGATTCGAAAGACTTCAACTCCCAGACTGCCTTCGCGTTGGCCAAAGCGGCGACGGCTTCTGGGAGTCGAAGTCCAAACCTCCTCTGTAGGCTCTCCAATGGCATGGCGTTACGGCATCCAATGAGCATCAAGCGGGGGATGGAAAAAAAGCTGAGGCACCAATGAGAAAGAGGGGGCGGGTCTAAGTCGGTGTCGGTTTGGAATAACGGCTGTGGAAGAGGCAGAGTAACGGCCGCGTCGCGAGGGAAGGAAGCCGCTGAGCAGGAGACGAGCAGGTATTGGCTGGGCCCAGAGGATTCCTCTCTAATCTCACAGCAGACGTGGAGACTCTAAAGAAGTGTTTCCCTGATAGTTTAATCCGAGTTAACATACTCTGAGTGTAGAAATAATGCAGTTTGGCACCACTTTTAACTACTTTGGCTCAATGCAATGGCATCCTGGGAGTGGAGATTTTGCAAGGCCTTCTCTGACAAAAAAGGGGTAGTGCCTCACCAAACCAAAACTCCCAGGATTCTAAAGTGGGATCAAACTGCATTAATTCTAGTGTGTAGACAAGGCACGGGCAAGCTTGGGCCCTCCCTCCAGGTGTTTTGGACTTCAACTCCCAGAATTCCTTATAGCCTCAGGCCCCTTCCTTTCCCCCCTCTAAGTGTTTTGGACTTCAACTCCCAGAATTCCTAGCAGCCTCAGGCCCTTTTCTTTTCCTCCTCCAGGTATTTAGGACTTCAACTCCCAGAATTCCTAACATCCTCAGGCCCTTACCTCCCCCCCCCCCCAGGTGTTAATACTTCAACTCCCAAAATTCCTAACATCCTCAGGCCCTTTCCTTTTCCCCCTCCAGGTATGTAGGACTTCCAACTCCCAGAATTCCTAACAGCCTCAGGCCCCTTCCTTTCCCCCCTCCAGTGTTAATACTTCAACTCCCAGAATTCCTAACAACTTCAGGCCCTTTCCTTTCCCCTCCAGGTGTGTTGGACTTCAACTCCCAAAATTCCTAGCAGCCTCAGGCCCTTTTCTTTTCCCCCTCCAGGGGTTTGGACTTCAACTCCCAGAGTTCCTCAGCCTCAGGCCCCTTCCTTTTCCCCCTCCAGGTGTTTTGGACTTCAACTCCCAGAATTCCTCAGCCTCAAGCCCCTTCCTTTTCCCCTCCAGGTGTTTTGGACTTCAACTCCCAGAATTCCTCACAGCCTCAGGCCCCTTCCTTTTCCCCCTCCAGGTGTTTTGGACTTCAACTCCCAAAATTCCTAACAGCCTCAGGCCCCTTCCTTAACCGGCTGAGGGGGGGGGGGAGGGCCTGAGGTTGTTAGGAATTCTGGGAGTTTAAGTCCAAAACACCTGGAGGGAGGGCCCAAGTTTTCCCATGCCTGCTGTAGATGTGCCCTGAAATGACAGATACACAACTTCTCTCTTCAAGCATGTATTGTAATTGCGGCACGTTTTTTCAACTATTGGAATCTTGAATCCTCTTAGGGATATATCCAGCTTTTGAAACACACATTTCCAGAATTACAAACTGTTGTGCGAGTATCCATTTGGGGGGGGGGGGGGGGGGTGGATGCACAGGTTAATATGTTTCCGACCCTCTTTCTCGCTTGGAAACAATAATATGAGAAGGATCTGGGAGTCTTTGTAAACCACTAGCTGAACATGAGCCAACAATGCGATGCGGCAGCTATACAGCCAGTGTGATTCTAGGCTGCATCAATAAGAGCATCATGTCGAGATGGAGGGAAATCCTAGTTCCATTCTTTTCCGAGAAGGGTATCGATACGAGGGAATGTGTCCAGAGGTAAAGGTAGAGAAACATTAACAACCTTAGACATGCAGATGATGCCACTTTGATGGCTGAAAACCAGGAGCTGAGGAGCCATCTAATCAAGGTGAAAGAAGAAAGTGCAAAAGCTGGGTTGCAGTTAAACATTTTTGAAAACCCAAGATTATGGCAACTGGACTGATGGATAACTGGTAAATAGTGGGAGAAAATGTGGAGGCAGTGACAGACTTTGTATTTCTAGGTGCAAATATTACTGCAGACATAGACTGCAGCCAGGAAATCAGAAGACGTTTGCTTCTTGGGAAGAGAGCAATGTCCAATCTCGATAAAATAGTGAAGAGTAGAGACATCACACGGGCAACGAAGATCTGCATAGTTAAGGCCATGGTATTCCCCGTAGTAACCTGGATGTGACAGCTGGGCCATAAGGAAGGCTGAGCGAAGGAAGATAGATGCTTTTGAACTGTGGTGTTGGAGGAAATTCTGAGAGTGCCTCGGACTGCAAGAGGTCCATACTTCAGGAAATAAAGCCTGACTGCTCATTGGAGGGAAGGATATTAGAAGTACTTTGGCCACATCATGAGAAGACAGGAAAGCTTAGAGAAGACAGTGATGGGGGGGGGGGGGAGGAAGAGGGGCGGACCAAGGGCAAGATGGATGGATGGGATCCTTGAAGTGACTGGCTTGACTTTTGAAGGAGCTGCGGGTGGTGATGGCTGACAGGGAGTTCTGGCGTGGGCTGGTCTATGAGATCACAAAGAGTCGGAAGTGACTTAATGAATAAACAACAACAAAGGTTTCTCCTGACATTAAGCCCAATCATTTCCAACTCTGGGGGTGTTGCTCATCTCCATTTCTAAGCCGAAGAGCCAGCATTTTCCATAGACACCTCCAAGGTCATGTGGCCAACATGACTACATGGAGCACCATTACCTTCCCACCAGAGCAGTACCTATTGATCTATTCACATTTGTATGTTTTAGAACTGCTAGGTTGGCAGAAGCTGGGGCTAACAGCGGGAGCTCACCCCACTCCTCAGATTTGAACTGCCGACCTTTCAGTCAGTACGTTCAGCAGCTCAGTGGTTTAATCCACTGTGCCACCGGGGAGTGGGGAGAGGCAAAGAACAACAACCAAAATGGTCAGAGATTTGGAAAGCAATCTCTATGAGGAGCAGATTGCAAAGCTGGGCATGTTTAAAGATGTCATAGTGGATGAAGCTTGTTTTCTGTTCCTCCAGAGAGTAAGGTACAAAACCTGTGCCATTAGGTTGTCTGTTTAGCGGTATTTTTTTTTAGGTAGCTGCAGCCCAGACAATTCTTCTCTATATGGTTACCCTCCTCATCCGTAGGATATTGCTATAGATGACTTTAGAAGTGGCAAAACATTCTAAGTGCTTTCAATCATGCAGCTGTAGGAAGAAAGCAGAGATAATAACGGGCTCCCAATTCCAGTGAAATAACACTCAAATGCCTGCTTTACAAACCGTATAATAAAATGTTTATTTTTTTAAATGGAAACACTTTAGTGACATGTTTGCGTTCTTTCAAAAGAAATGGCATTATTTTGGTTATTTAGAGAAGAGCATTGTATGTGCTTAGAAACTACCAGATGCTATACTTGTGCAAGCCCTCTTTGCAGCTTGTCCTGGAATATCACTGCTTGCCTCTCTGGGCCCCCTATAGCTCTTCTTATGGTTCCATCTGTTCATTTCCTTCCATTTCAGCATGCTTTGCTTTTTTCAAGTGTGGAGGTTCAATGCGTCCTCGTCGCACAAAGTGACTAATGCGAGACTCCAAAGCTTCACATTTGGGGCGATCCATTAATCGTTTGTATTTGCGAGCTTTCACTCCTTCAATTAAGGCACTGATTTGATTGTGAATTGGGGGTGTTACCTCTCTCCAAAGAACTGCTGTGTTGTTCCCTGTATCTGTAAACAATAATTGTGTAGTTATCTATACAAATAAAAATGTAATGTTTGTTTGTGGGATTAACATAACTCAAAACCCACTGGACGAATTGACACCAAATTTGGACACTACACACCTAACAGACCAACAAGTGACCATCACTCATAAAATCCCACAAAAAAGCAGTGGAAAGGACTTAAAACCCCCAAAAAGCTAAATGATGAAAAGATAAATGACAATACAGGAAAAAAGGAAGAGGGAGGGAAGGAAGGGGATAAATAAAGAAGCATGGAAGCAAAGAGCGAAGGAAGGAAGGAAAGAGGTAGAGAAGGAAGAAAGGAGAGAAAGAGGAAAAGAAAAGGGGAAGGAAAGAAAGGAGTAGAGAAGGAAGGAAGGAGAGAAGGAAAGGGGAAGCGAAGGAAGAAGGGAAAGAGGTAGAGAAGGAAGAAAGAGAGCAGGAAGGAAGGAAAGGAAAGACAGAAAGAAGGATGTAAGCAAAAAGCGAAAGAAGAACGAAAAGAGGTAGAAAAGGAAGAAAGAGAAAGAGGAAAAGAAAAGGGGGGAAGGAAGGAAGGAGAGAAGGAAAGGAAAGGGGGATCGAAGGAAGAAGGGAAAGAGGTAGAGAAGGAAGAAAGGAGAGAAAGGGAAGGAAAAGAAAAAAGGGAGGAAGCAAAGAAAGAGGTAGAGGGGGAAAAATGGAGAGAAGGAAGGAAGGAAAGAGGGAGCGAAGGAAGGAGGAAAAGGAGAGAAAGAGGGAGGGAAGGTTGGCCACAGCAACGTGTGGCGGCTACAGCTAGTACTTGTATATAACACATTATCCATCAATCACTTCTATCCTTCGAAATTTCTGTCAACGCTTAACTGGAAGAACCTGTTAGAACCACTCTTGTTTAAATGTATAGAACTGTTTGCTTACCTGTTTCTATATGTATCTTGGCAAAATCCAGCCCTTCTAACATGCTGTGTAACATATGACTTTTAACAGCATGATTGGTCCAAAGTTGCTGTAGATGCGTAACATTAAATTCATGTACTTTTTTATCATAGATCCACTGAATGTTTTCAAAGTCACAATCGTACAGAACCAAAGGAAACTCCACTGCCATGCTGCAAGCAAAAGGAGGAAATTCACATTAAGCTTAAGTTAGACATACATGAGTTAATAAATCAAAGAAGTACATGCAGACTTGAGCATTCCTGAGTCATTCACTTCATATGGTTGGAGCTGCCATAATTTGGGCATACTAGTACATCTGTATCATGGGTTGTTGTAGGTTTTTTCGGACTATATGGCCATGTTCTAGAGGCATTATCTTCTGATGTTTCACCTGCATCTATGGCAAGCATGTGAGGTCACAACCTCTGAGGATGCCTGCCAGAGATGCAAGTGAAACATCAGGAGAGAATGCCTCTAGAACATGGCCATATAGCCTGAAAAAAACCTACAACAACCCAGTGATTCCAGCCATGAAAACCTTCGACAATACATCTGTATCATGTTGATTTGGATCATGATTTTTGACTAGGAGTAGTATATTATGTAGAGATCATAACTATCAAATTGTATCAAATCACTATGATGCAGGGCTTGGAAAATGGCATTTTATAGCAAAATAACGCGTATTAGGCATATGCAATCTATGGTTCTAAAGTACTTAAAAAACAAAAATTCTGGTGGTGAAAACTAAGGGGCGCTGGTGCTTTGCTTCTACAGTGTTGCTAAAGTTTTTGTAGTGAAACTTTCTGAACTCTAACACAACTTTCAAAATTTCATTATAAATGGCAGTTCCTAATAGGTTCTGTCATAAAAATGACCAATAATGAAATAAAAATGAAATTTGGAAAGTTTTGTTAGAGTTCTGAAATTTTCACCACCAGAACTTTAGCAACACTGTAGAAGCAAAGCACCAGCGCCCCCTAGTTTTCACCACCAGAACTTTAGTTTTGTAAGTACTTTAGAACCATTTAGAACCACAGATTGCACATGCCTAATGTGTATCCCTAGCACATTTTTTTCAATTACTGTAAAACTTTTTCAGATGGATTTGGTACCTGTTGTAAACAAGCTTCACATCTGTCTACAGAGCTTTTATTTTAGCTTTTGTTTATTTAACTGACCTGTATTGTGGTTTTCTAGGGTTTTTCTCAATATCGAACAACTCATCAATAATCTCTGGCTTCTCCATCTTTTGCCCGATCAGGAACAGAATGGCCATCATGCAACGGACCTGGTGGTACAGGAATGCCTGGCCTGTCACCTCAAAGTAGTACATCCGGAAAGGGTTCTGTTGCTCAGTCTCCCCTTCTCTGTCCACAGGCTGCACCTCTGCAGCAAGAATGGTTCTGTGAAAGCTAGTGACACCATTTGCAACATCCATTTTGCACAAATTACGGAAATCATGGGTTCCCACAAATTTTTGAGCTGCCCTATTCATGAGGGCTACATCAAGCACAGCGCAAGGGAAAAAGTAGCGATAGGTTCTCTTCAAGCAATTAAATCTAGCACTGAAGTTGGGTTCTACTGGGGCCCAAGCCAGGACCCGTATGTCAGGAGGGAGAACTTGATTCAAGATGTGGGTGTAGTGGATCTCCTCTGAAGCCTTAGTTGCTTTGCTGTTTGCTGTATCCCCAGGTGTATTCTCTGGAAGATTTGAGCGGAGATCCAAGGAAATCACCTGAAACATTAGGGAAAGATGATATTCTAGGGTTAGGCATTCAAAATACAACTAAAGTTAAATGGTGTCGGTTGGCTCATTCCAATTAGACTGGTGACTAATTCTTAACTAATTTTCTAGAGACTTAACTTGGATTCCTCCTTGGTTTTGTAAGTAAACTAATGTCAGTTCCTTTGAACATGGATGGTAACATCCATGATTACTGAATACTTGTTTCTGCAGTGGAAAAAAGCTTCCAGTATAATATAATATTTTTGGTTTATTTCAATTATCACATAAGGCAGGACCACACAAGTTTTTCTATGTATAGGCATGAATTAAATACTACTCTAACAAATAAACAGATAAGAAGCAGAAACATTTTTTTGTAAATCAACCCTCTTTTCAGTTATACAATTTTTTCTCAGCCATTAATGACCTGTACTATTTTCCTAGAAGAAAACCTTCAAATATTGCTGTGCTTAATGCCACACAATCATTTCTACAGATAGAGGAAGACTTGTAATGGAAAAGGGGGAGGGAGGAGTTTCTTTCAAATATTTTCCCCCACAGATTATAGTATAATTTCTTTTAGAATGATCGCTAAACTGTTGAAGACATGATGCTCTCATGCTTACGTCCCATATCTGCTATTTTAAAGACTACGCAAGCGGAAGGGTATGTACAGCAGTGGACCATTACAGTTTCAATTTTGGTTCCTTTATCTTAGTGTATGTATGTGTGTGTGTGTATATGTATGTGTGTGTGTGTATATGTGTGTGTGTGTGTGTGTGTGTATATATATATATATGAATGGGCCGATTATTTCTATGGATAAGTAGTAGAACCAATTAATTTTGTTATACAGGCAGTCCCCGAGTTACAATCAAGATAAGTTCTGTAGGTTTGTTCTTAAGTTGAATTTGTAAGTTGTAACTGGTACATTTTAATAGCAACACTGTGTGTGTGTGTGTGTGTAGATAGATTTGGATTGCACAGGTAAGGGTGAACATCCCTGTGGGGTTTTGTTTTGCTGTCTGCCGCAAGAAATTCAATGTGCAGATTTGACAAATATGAATTTAATATGATGTGTGGGAATGGATGGAAGAATAGAAGGATGTATGGTTGGAGTTAATAATTTTGGAAACACCAGTGTAATATTAAGGTCTGCAACGACTAACTACCTTCTTGCTGGAACTGTGATCAAAACCTGCTAATGAGAATTGATAAGAACTGTGACAACGGTTCTTTCAAGTTAAGGAAATGTTTGCAACATCCCTTATGTTAAGAAGGAAGTCAACATAAGATCAGCACCAATCAAGAAGATCAACATCTGGCCAGGAAACTGAGATAGAACCAGGATGGAAGTCGTCTATTATTAATTTACAACTTTGGGACTACATCAACAGAATATTCCTATAAAAGACTCAGTCTAATAATGCTCAAAGTGTGGCAGACCTGAGGAGTCTGTTCCACCCGCTATGCTGTGCTCCATGGGAAGGACAGAGATAGTGTACCTATGGAGAGTGGCAGATTTGCAAGGGAGCAGTCTGATCACTTTGGGGCTTCTTTCTCAAGGGAAGAGGAACAAGTGCGCTTTTGGAGTCTTGGATTTTGTGCAGGGAGTCAGGTTGTGCTGTATGGAAGACAGAGATCTGGTCCCTGGCATTGTTCTTAGGGAAAGGATGCATTTTGGTGTTTTGAAGTTATGGAACTATATGTTGGCAGGCTGCAGGGAAGCAGGGTCTGGCCTAACAGATGCTTCTCCAAGGAAGGAGAAAAGGATATGGTAATATTTGAATGCATGTGGATAAATGCATGTACACGTATGTGAATGTTGAGTTCAGCTAATTTTCTATCCCTGTGATAATTGGATTTTGAAAAAATTGCTGAGAAAGCTTCAGTCGAGACAGCTTTTCCCCAGGATAACGCTTTCAGGAGTGAATTTTCCTTCTGAGGGGTAGATATATCTCCCTTGCTGTTGTCTCAGCCCCATGGGTCATTTTTAAGCTGGATGTTTATAATTTGGGGACTTCCTGTACTAATATTCATGAGTTTCTTGCATTTACTCACAGATTCACACATATACAATTTGTCTCCTGCTCAAACAGCCAAAATCACCGATATTCCTTATACTTCATGTGTTCTTTATAGGTCAGAACCTCACTTGCAACAGAAACATTAAAATTAAAAGAAGCTGTGTTCGTAATTATAATAATAATCAGTGAGTTGAGGCAGGATTTTATGTGGGTGCAACCTTCCTTCTCAAGAGGAATGGGAAGTTTGTAAAAGGTATGGATATGCCAAACATCCCTTTCCTGAGTAGGATGGAAAATAGCTTTTATATGACCTGCTAAGTAGGAAACATACATGTTGTATACAATGTACTGTATATACTCGAGTATAAGCCGACCCGACTATAAGCCAAGGCACCTAATTTTACGACAAAAAACTGGGAAAACATGTTGATTCGAGTATAAGCCGAGGGTGGGAAATGCAGCCACTACTGGTAAATTTCAAAATAAAAATAGATACCAATAAAATCACATTAACTGAGGCATAAGGAGATGAAATGTTTTTGAATATTTACATAAAACTGTAATTTGAGATAAGACTGCCCAACTCTGATTAAATCATTATTCTAACCTTCTTCAATGTAAATATACTTACGTACCTTCCAACAATAGAGTAAAATAATAAATGTAATAATAATAATAAAGTAAAATAATGGAAATGCAATAATAACAGTAAAATAATAAATGCAATACTAATAAAGTAAAATAATAAATGTAATAATCATGAATAGTGTAAAATAATAATAATAGGGTAACATACTGTAAATGTAATAATAGAGTAAAATAATACATGAAATATTTCTGCCCCTGCCTTGTGGAATTCCTTGCCGCCCTACATGAGAGCCATGCGTGACTTAGGGCCTTTTACTCTCGCACTTAAGACCTGGCTTTTTACTAGAGCATTCGATCTCTGTTGATTTTTAATTTTTGTATGTATGTATTTTATCTTTTGTAATTTAGCTGTAAATCGCCTAGAGCATTCTCGGATGGAGGGTGATTAATAAGTTATTAAATGGTGATGATGATGAAATAAAAATAATACTAATAACAGAGTAAAATAATAAATAACCATGACTCGAGTATAAGCCAAGGGGAGCTTTTTCAGCCTAAAAAGGGGGCTGAAAAACTAGTATTATAATCGAGTATATACAATATTTTAATATTGAGATAAATGTTTTTAATGCTTATGTATGCATATAATGAATTCTTGCCCCTGCATTGAATATTTGCCATATATTCATATATCACCTTCGGGGTGAGAAGGGCAGAATATAAATGTTTTAAATAAATAAATAATATTCATATTATTCGTGTTCCTAAAAGAAGTGGGAGAGGCTTAACAAAATCTATACACCTTGATTTTTTCTGGACAATCCTTGCAATGCCTTCTAGAAACTAAAGTGAAGGGAGTCTTCACAAAATCAGTATATAGGCCCCTAGTTCCAGGTTCTGCTACCAAAGTCAGGTGTTGGACTCACCTGCCCAAAGGCACTGACTCCTTTATCGGTACGCCCACAGCGGTGATAGTTGGAGGTCTGCCTATTCTTGACCAGACGGGTTTTGCCAAGAGCTTCAAACAGCTTTTCTTCAATGGTATTGTTGGTGTTCTCCTGGCTTGCAAAACCCTGGTATTCCCAGCCCAGGTAGGCGATTTTCAGTGCCACATGTCTTCGTCCATACGCATCAAAGTCAAATGGCCGTTGCTGATGTCTCCTAGTTTTTCCTAATGTTGTCTGGCTGGCTGCTGTGCTGGGGGCCTCCTTGTGGTTCGCAAGCCTTTCCTCCAGCCTTTGCACAGTCTCCTCCAGTTCCTGGATCTTCTTCAGCAGCTTCTCTGTTTCACTCCCATCTTTGGCCATAGTGAGAATCCCTCTTTAAAAACAAATCAATACAAATACTCCAGCAGTTCGTATGCAGACAGAAAAAGAATGTTTGCAGTGATTGTTCAAAATGTTTAATTTGACTTTCACACTCTATTCCCTGCTAGAGACTATACATTTATGGGATATTAACTTTCTAACTATTTTTCCAAATAGTTGTGTTTACTGATAAATTTCAAGAAAACAACTTCTTGAAATTAAACTAGTTTATTCTAGTGCAAGCTTTCATGGATTTCAATCTGCTTCAGTCACACTGACAGAATTAATATCAAAGTCAGACTTGGCCATGCTCTTGTTACATCCAGGATAGACTACTGCAACGCACTGTACGTGGGGTTGCCTTTGAAGACTGCTCAGAAGCTTCAAATAGTCCAACGAGAGGCAGCCAGGTTAATAACTGGGGCGGCATACAGGGAGCATACAACTCCCATGTTACGCCAGCTCTGCTGGCTGCCAGTTTGCAGCCCCGGTCCAAATGACCTGTCTGAACACATCTCTCCCTATGAACCATTGTGGAGATTTTTTTAAATGTTTTGTAATATTTTATTGAGAGTGGGGGGGGGGGGATTACATCGTGGAGCTTAAGATCCTCCAGGGAGGCCCTGCTTTTCGTCCCGCCATTGTCACAGGCACGATTGGTGGGAACGAGAGACAGGGCCTTCTCGGTGATTGCTCCCCGGCTATAGAACTCCCTTCCTGGTGAGATCAGGTCGCCCTCCTCCCTCCTGACCTTTAGAAGGATGGTAAAAGCTTGGCTGTGGGACAGGGCAACGAAGCAGCAATAGGAAAGATTACCAGGCCAATTAGATTTGACGTGGATGACTAGGACGGTTTTAAATGGTGTATTTTAATATTTTGATAAATGTTTTTAATGTTTATGTATATATATAAGAATTTGTGTCCCGGCATTGAATGTATGCCATATATATGCTGTGCTCCGCCCTGTGTCCCCTTCGGGGTTTTGTTTTGTTTTTTTTTGTCATGTCAGGAGCGACTTGAGAAACTGCAAGTCGCTTCTGGTGTGAGAGAATTGGCCATCTGCAATTCCCAATGCCCAGGGGATGTCCAGATGATTTGATGTTTTTATCATCCTTGTGAGAGGCTTCTCTAATGTCCCCACATGAGGAGCTGGAGCTGATAGAGGGAGCTCATCCGCCTCTCCCTGGATTTGAACCTGCAACCTGTCGGTCTTCAGTCCTGCTGGCACAGGGGTTTAACCTACTGCACCACCGGGGGCTCTTCCTTCGGGGTGAGAAGTGGGGAATATAAATGTTTTAAATAAATAAATCAGTAGCATCTCCCATCCCTTGCTGTGTGATAAATACTCTTTTTTCTTGCAGACCTGACAACAGCAACCATACAATAGTAGCAATGGAAGCCCTGCTGGGACCCGATCGCTACCGATGGAACACTATGAGCCGCGAGGATCAACTCAAAGCAACTGCAATAGCCTTTATTCGCCTTTGCGCAGAACAGGGAGATGGTGATAGTCCCAGGCAGCCTCGCCTCGTGCCCCAGAAAGATCCCTACGCAAGAGCCTCCGTGGCTGCCTTGGCCAGACCCATCCATCACCCTATGATGATCAGGCATCTTCAGGCAGAGCCTATGCTGCAGTCAGTGATTCCTAAGAATTCCAGGGCTTCTAGGAAGCCTGCAATGAAAAGGAAGGTTTTAAGACGAATGCCAGATGGAGAGGTACAAGTGACGGATGAATCCATCGTGAGTGAGACTGACTCGGGCGCTCCAAGTGACTCTGAGTACAGTGAATTGAGTCAAAGGATGTCCAATCTGAAAACCCACCAGGAGGACGAGTCTGAAGAGGAGTGTGAACCCAACAGTTCCCCGAAGTCAGAAACTCCCAATTCCTGGAGAACTACAGGAGCCAGCCAGAGCTCCAGTTCTCCAAGAGAGAGTCACAGCCGAAGCACCTATGAGCAGGATCTGATCTTTTCCGGCCCGCCAAAGTCTTTCATTCTACCCAGAATGGAGCAGCTCAGCCGGAAGAGGATGAAGACTGACCGAGTGGCCCGCTACTTGGCCCATAAGCACGACTGGGGGTTGCTGCGCCTCCCAGGGGAAGACCCCAGGAAAAGTGTGCGCTGGAACGTCCGGGAGCAGATGTTTTACAAGGCAGAATTCCCTCCCAGAGCTCAACACGTTTATATCCCCAACAACTACATCGTGCCGACGGAGAAGAAGAGATCTGCCCTGCGCTGGGGGATACGTTGCGACCTGGCTAATGGTATCATACCTAGAAATTCCTATTCCTCCTAGAAATCCAGATATTTTTACAGCGCCGGATATTGGGACGAGCGTTGTTTAGCATTGCCCAAAGATATGGCCACTCAGAGCTATGCAGTTTTTAAAATCCAAACCCTGCTTTGTGGTTTTAAATCTATGTGTGTGTTTTTTTTAGAGTGGGGAGTTCCTGGGAAGAAAGGCCTCCCATTTTCTTAAGACAGGTGCTCCATTGAGAGGCAGGCAGACACACAGACGATGAACTGCCTGAAGAATAACTTATTCTGGTTGGTGAGATCTTGAAAACTAATCTCCCTTTTTCCAAAAGCTGTGGACATTCCGTATGATTTGACTGTTTTTATAAAATTTTTAACTCCTGGATGTATGGATTCAATTAAAAAGTGTGTGGCGTGAAAATATTGTCTCTGTGGAGTCATTGATTCTTTTATTGGAACAGGTCTGGGCCAACTTTGGCCTTTCGGATGTTTATTTTATTTTATTTAAGTAGACACACATTTCCAAGTGTTTGTTGCATACACTGCAATACTTTTTATTTATTAATGTTCCATAATCATTTATCTGATAATATGTTTCAGTTAAGGAGTCACAGACTACTATCTAAATAATACATATAAAAATATCATAGACTCTTATACCTTAGGGACCGCCTCTCCTTCTCCCATCATCGGAGGTCGCAACGACCAGCCCAACGTGACTTACTCCATATACCGGGTCCTAGAGAAGTGCACTTGGAAAGGACCAGGCGCAGATGGGCTTTCTCTATTTCTGCCCCTGCCTTGTGGAATTCCTTGCCGCCCTACATGAGAGCCATGCGTGACTTAGGGCCTTTTACTCTCGCACTTAAGACCTGGCTTTTTACTAGAGCATTCGATCTCTGTTAATTTTTAATTTTTGTATGTATGTATTTTATTTTTTATAATTTAGCTGTAAATCGCCTAGAGCATTCTCGGATGGAGGGCGATTAATAAGTTATTAAATGATGATGATGATGATAAAAGCAATCTATATAAATAAAAATGTAATGTTTGTTTATGGGATTAACATAACTCAAAAACCATTGGACGAATTGACACCGAATTTGGACACAAGACACCTAACAACCCAATGTATGTCCTTCACTCAAAAAATTGATTTTGTCATTTGGGAGTTGTAGTTGCTCGGATTTATAGTTCACCTACAATCACAGAGCATTCCGAACCCCACCAATGATAGAATTGGGCCAAACCTCCCACACAGAACCCACACCGCAACGTGTGGCTGGGAACGGCTAATCTATATAAATAAAAATGTAATGTTCGTTTGTGGGATTAACATAACTCAAAAACCACTGGACGAATTGACACGAAATTTGGACACAAGACACCTAACAGTCCAATGAGTGCCGTCACCCATAAACACACACACATACACGAAACCCCAGCGGAACAGGCTTAAATACCCCAAAATACACCATATATACATATACACATACACTCATACACATGCACACATTCATACACATGTATATGTGCATAAACACACACAAATATACACATACATATACATACACACATGCAAATATACATGCACACATACATATATACACATGCACACACATACATTTCCACATACATACGTATATGCACACAAATATGCATATTACTTACTTACTTAGGCGATCCCTCGTTGGACGAGTAAGATGGTCTTCCATTATGGGTTTCCTTGTGGGTCCGCATGTGGCTGTGGAGCCCTATTCTTGCTCTGCATCTTCTTCCGCCGTGTGGGCATTGGTTTCCAGGTGGAAGGCGGTCCCGGTCGAGGTTGGCTTGACACGCCTTCCTCCTGGCACGTTTCTCTCTTTCACCCTCCACTCGTGCCTCCTCGAATTCTGCAGCACTGCTGGTCACAGCTGACCTCCAGCTGGAGCGCTCAAGGGCCAGGGCTTCCCAGTTCTCAGTGTCTATGCCAGAGTTTTTAAGATTTGCTTTGAGCCCATCTTTAAATCTCTTTTCCTGTCCACCAACATTCTGTTTTCCATTCTTGAGTTCGGAGTAGAGCAACTGCTTTGGGAGACGGTGGTCAGGCATCCGGACAACGTGGCCGGTCCAGCGGAGTTGGTGGCGGAGGACCATCGCTTCAATGCTGGTGGTCTTTGCTTCTTCCAGCACGCTGACGTTTGTCCGCTTGTCTTCCCAGGAGATTTGCAGGATTTTCCGGAGGCAGCGCTGATGGAATCGTTCCAGGAGTTGCATGTGACGTCTGTAGACAGTCCACGTCTCACAGGCATAGAGCAGGGTTGGGAGGACAATAGCTTTATAGACAAGCACCTTGGTCTCCCTATGGATGTCCCTGTCCTCAAACACTCTCTGCTTCATTCGGAAAAAGCTGCACTCACAGAGCTCAGATGGTATTATATTTCAGCCTCAATGTTGACATCTGTAGACAGCAGAGAGTGTTTGAGGACCGGGACATCCGTAGGGAGACCAAGGTGCTTGTCTATAAAGCTATTGTCCTCCCAAAACTGCTACACGCCTGTGAGACGTGGACTGTCTCCAGATGTGGAGAGGTGGCTGCCAAGGTAGCGGAAATGGTCAACATTTTCTAATACTACACCATTAAGCCGTATCTTTGGCATTGGAAAGGGATTGGCTGGTGACTGCTGGAACAGCACTTGGTTTTCTCGATGTTCAGTGATAGGCCAAGCTTCGTGTATGCTTCTGCGAAGGTGTTTAGAGTGGCTTGTAGGTCTTCTGTATGCGCACAGACGACATTGTGCATATATGCATATAGACAAGCACAGACATATACACAATATGCATGTACACATATAAACACAAATATGTACACTGTGTATATATATACACACACACATATATACACACACAAAACACATACACAGACTGGGCCACAGCGACACGTGGCAGGGGATGGCTAGTAAAACTATATAAACCATAAAACACATGTCCTTTTGGACTTCAACTCCCACAATTCCTAACAACCTAACAGACAATCCTGCGGACTGATCTTGCATTGATTTCGGACAGAGGTAAGCTTTGCACACACAGACAGAGGGAAGGGATCCATGGGGTGGACAGGTGAAAGTGTCAGGTGTGGGGTCACCAAAAAAGAGTGGGCTTCTCTTAGTGTCGTGGCCAAACATTTGTGCTGTTTGACTGCTATCAAAAGGGTTCATCTGGGCTCTACCAGGTCACTTTAGCCTGGGGACAGATCTAGGGAGCAAACTCTCCTGCATCCAATGTGCTTCGCATCTCAGAGCTCCTATAAGGCGATGCATCTCGACTGGTACTGGCTGTTAGGAATTGTGGGAGTTGAAGTCCAAAACACCCAGAGGGCCAAAGTTGACCCATGTCTGCAAATTTTCAATTGGTGGGTTGCTGTGCGTTTTCTGGGTTCTGTGTTCCAGAAGCATTCTCTCCTGACATTTCACCTGCATCTATGGAAGGCGTCCTCTGAGATTGTGAGGTTTGTTGGAAACTAGGCAAGTGGGGTTTATATATCTGTAGAATGTCTAGGAGAAAGAACTCTTGTCTGTTTGAGGCATGCGTGAATGTTGCAATTGGCTACCTTGATTAGCATTTAATGGCCTCACAGCTTCAAAGCCTGGCTGCTTCCTGCCTGGGGAAATTCTTTGTTGGGAGGTGTTAAGTGTACTTGATAATTTCTTGTATGGAATTCCCCTGTCTTCTGAGAGTTGTTCTTTATTTACTTTCACGATTATAGACATTTAATACTAGTAGCCAGATTTTGTTTATTTTCATGGTCTCCAATGCTAATCAAGAAGGGGAATTGCAACATCCACATGCTTCAAACAGACAAGGTACATAAACCCCACTTGCCTAGTTTCCAACAGGCCTCACAACCTCTGAGAATGTCTGCCGTAGATGTGGGTGAAACATCAGGAGAGAATGCTTCTGGAACATGGACATACAGCCTAGAAAACTCGCAGCAACCCAGTGATTCTGGCCATGAAAGCCTTCGACAACACATTAACGTTGAATAATCCTTGCAGCTTCAAAGCTGGGCTGCTTCCTGCCTGGGGGAAGCTTCAAGCTCTTGATGCTTCTGTTCGATGTCTTGTCTTCGGTCTGATATAACAAGTTGTGTTATTTGTTGGGAGGTGTTGCTCTTCATTTACTCATTTTAGAGTTTCCAATATAACTCACAACTTCTGAGGAGGCTTGCCATAGATGTAGGCGAAACATCAGGAGAGAATGCTTCTGGAACATCACCAAACAGCCCAGAAAAATGACAGCAACCCAGTGATTCTGGCTATGAAAGCCTTCGGCAACACATTAGCATTGAATATCCTTGCAGCTTCAAAGCTGGGCTGCTTCCTGCCTGGCGGAAGGTTCAAGGTCTTGATGCTTCTGTTAGATGTTTTGTTGGGAGGTGTTGCTATTTATTTAATGGTTTTTAGAGTTTCCAATATATCTCACAACCTCTGAGGATGCGTGCCATAGATGCAGGCGAAACGTTAGAAGAGAATGCTTCTGGAACATTGCCATAGAGAGCCTAGAAAACTCCTCAGAGGTAGTGAGGATGCCTGCCACAGATGCAGGAGAAACGTCAGGAGAGAATGCTTCTGGAACATTGCCATAGAGAGCCTAGAAAACTCCTCAGAGGTGGTGAAGATGCCTGCCACAGATGCAGGAGAAACGTCAGGAGAGAATGCTTCTGGAACATGGCCATAGAGAGCGTAGAGGTGGTGAGGATGCCTGCCACAGGGGCAGGCGAAACGTCAGGAGAGAATGCTTCTGGAACATGGACATGGAGAGCCTAGAAAACTCCTCAGAGGTGGTGAGGATGCCTGCCACAGATGCAGGAGTAACGTCAGGAGAGAATGCTTCTGGAACATGGCCATACAGCCCAGGAAACTCACAGCAACCATGAAATCCTTGGATATCACAGTTGATGCCTCGCAAACTACAATTCCCAGGATCCCCTAACCTTGAGCAGTCAAAGTAGTATCACATTGCTTTCATTCTCCAGTGTAGATGCTCCCCCTGCCCCCCCCCCCCCCCCCCCCCCCCCCGGCTCCTATAGGCTTGCCTTTGCTTCCAACGGCGATTCCCATTCACTAGGCGCGACCCCTTGGCTCCTTCCTCTGCAGAAACAGGCGGCGATTTGCAACGCAGGAACTTCCCCTTCACTTTTCCCTTCCGCCCCATAAAATACGTGGCGCAAAGGCTTCTGGGAAATGGAGTTCTTTTTCCCTCCCATGCACATAGTGGAACCTTGAAAGACGCAAAGATACAGAATGGGGGACAATGCCTGGCTCAAGAGCAGTGCGTATGAAAAAGATCTTGGAGTCCTCGTGGACAACAACTTAAACATAAGCCAACAATATCATGTGGCAGCAAAAAAAGCCAATGGGATTTTGGCCTGCATCAATAGGAGCATAGTGTCTAGATCTAGGGAAGTCATGCTACCCCTCTATTCTGCTTGGTTAGACCACACCTGGAATATTGTGTCTAATTCTGGGCACCACAGTTCAAGAGAGATATTGACAAGCTGGAATGTGTCCAGAGGAGAGCGACTAAAATGATAAAAGGTCTGGAGAACAAGCCCTATGAGGAGCAGCTTAAGGAGCTGGGCATGTTTAGCCTGAAGAAGAGAAGGCTGAGAGGAGATATGATAGCCATGTATAATATGTGAGAGGAAGCCACAGGGAGGAGGGAGCAAGCTTGTTCTCTGCTTCCCTGGAGACTAGGACGCGGAACAACGGCTTCAAACTACAAGAGAGGAGATTCCATCTGAACACGAGGAAGAACTTCCTGACTGTGAGAGCTGTTCAGCAGTGGAACTCTCTGCCTCAGAGTGTGGTAGAGGCTCCTTCTTTGGAAGCTTTTAAACAGAGGCAGGATGGCCATCTGTCAAGAGTGCGCTGAATGCAATATTCCTGCTTCTTGGCAGAATGGGGTTGGACTGGATGGCCCATGAGGTCTCTTCCAACTCTTTGATTCTATGATTCTAATATAATAATATATGATTACAACTTTGTATTAATATTATAGAACTACTACCGTCCCCAGCCACACATTGCTGTGGCCCACATGGGGGTTCTGTGTGGCAGGTTTGGCCCAATTCTATTGTTGGTGGGGTTCAGAATGCTCTGTGATTGTAGGTGAACTATACATCCCAGCAACTACAACTCCCAAATGCCAAGATTCTATTTTCCCCAAACTCCACCAATGATCACATTTGGACATATTGAGTATATTCGTGTAGAGTTAGGTCCAGATCCATCATTGTTTGAGTCCACAGTGATCTCTGAATGTAGGTGAACTACAACTCCAAAATCAAAGGACACTGCCCATCAAACCCTTCCAGTATTTTCTGTTGGCCCTGGAAGAACTGTGTGCCAAGTTTGGTTCAATTCCATCATTGGTGGGGTTCAGAATGCTCTTTGATTGTAGGTGAACTATAAATCCCAGCAACGACAACTCCCAAATGACAAAATCAATGTTTTGAGTGAAGGACATACATTGGCCTGTTAGGTGTCTTGTGTCCAAATTTGGTGTCAATTCATCCAGTGCTTTTTGAGTTCTGTTAATCCCACAAACGAACATTACATTTTTATTTATATAGATAATGCTATAATTTTATTATTATTACTATATTATATTATAATTATGTCACAACTGAGGATGCCTGTCATAGATGTGGGCGAAACGTCAGGAGAGAATGCCTCTATATGCCTCCATATAGCCAATAAAACCTACAACAACCCTATTACTATAATATTTAATAATATTATATGACCATAATATGTTATGACAACATAATATAACAATATATTACAAGTTTATATTACTATTATAATATAATATAGCACTATAATGTTATAATTATATTATTGTTGTTGTTGTTCATTCGTTCAGTCGTTTCTGACTCTTCATGATCTCATGGACCAGCCCACGCCAGAGCTCCCTGTCGGCCGTCACCAACCCCAGCTCCTTCAGAGTCAAGCCAGTCACTTCAAGGATACCATCCATCCATCTTGCCCTTCATAGAATCATAGAATCATAGAGTTGGAAGAGACCTCATGGGCCATCCAGTCCAACCCCCTGCCAAGA